AAGCCTGCCCCTTGAAAGAGGAACTCATCCATCAAAAACCTCAGATAATCTACGTTGTATTTGAACGTATAAATACGTATTAATGTTATATCAACGAGAATTCTGGCCGTTCACCCACAGAATCCAACATGTAGCATTGTGAAACCTAGGAAAAGCCGACCGATCAGTCCTTCAACCACTTATTTGTCATTACGTTACTGATTACAGTTAGACCCAAGTATCAACCGCTAATCATTTATTTACAAGGTCAAAAGAATTGGGCTTATATGGGCCAAGCACATTAAACACCCAGCCCATTTGTCAATGTTAAGTCCATTGTCGTCATTCCATTGATTCCTCAAACTATGGCTATTGGCTACGAGCCTACGAACCATGATGTATATACTACACTCCATTACGATTGAAACATTTCTATTCAATTATTGGAACACAATGAAAAAATATTAGGCTTCTGCTCAGGATTTTGAATTTTCTTCTCACTGATTTTTTATGCAAAAATCTCTGAAGTCTGACATGTGAAGTTTTTCAATAAATTCATCACCGCAGAAGCAAATTCAAATAATTGGAGAAAAAATGAAAGGAAAAAAAAGGCTCTCATGTTTCGTCATGGAAAAGTATCAGCTCATGCTCTGTTATCAGAATAGCGTATACTGCCTTTTGACAGGCAAGTAATCACAGAGCCAATTTCATTTCAGCAGCTGACAAGAAACTATCATGAAAGAGAAAAAAAAACAACAAAAAGACATCGAAATCGAAGGATTAATTGAGGGATACAATCGAGATCAGAAATTGGTGAAGAGTTTTCGGTCACGATTAATCTGAAACACGGACCAAAAATTTTATTCATCATATCTCGAGATTCTCACCATTCCAAAGAGATTACCGTTGCGGCAGTATGATATCAGAAAACAAAATACCAAAAATCGAAAAGGGGGAATATTGAAACAGAAAACCAAAAGATCTTGCAGAGAATACGAAATTCCGATCATCAGAGACTTAAATACATTGGAATCATGGGGATTTTTTCCATCATATTGTTGCAGTATTTCTCTCATCAACTGACCGAAATCTGAAACAAACTCGAGAAAGAGAGAGAGAGAGAGAGATTTCAAAAATATTGTCGGAGAAAGGCCGAGGAAAGGAAACCCTAAAATGTTGTAGACGACGATGAAGCAATTGTTCAGACCTGCTTCAATTTATAGATCTTCGACGGCGATTCCACATTAAAAACCCTAGCGAGTTTCCGCAATAGCATTCCGATGGGCCTTTACGGCCCAAAACGCCAAAAAAAAAATGAATGGACGACTAAAATATTTTTATTTTCCAATCGAATTATAACCTGAAAAAGGGGGTTTCTAATTTACCTTAACAAACTTTAGGGCCCGTTGTAGTTTTATATCGAGGAAATTAACCACTTCTCTTAATTAGATATAATAAAAGGCAGAAACCATGTGATGGCTTCATTACGGAAACTTAAGGCCCAAACTTTAATCTTATTGGCCCAAAACGAAGCTAAGAAGTCCTCCATTCCAAATCCTTCCCCTTTTCTTCTCCATATTCGAAATTTCTCGCTTCCATAGCTAACTCCTTGGAAAGCCTCTCTCTCTCTCTCTCACACATTTTTCTCCGTCTTCTCTGTGTTCTTGTTCTTCTCCGACATCATCAGCTACCGTCTTCAGTGTTGTTGTCTGTAAACTTTGAAATTGAAAGTTTCACCGGAATTATCCTGTATATACCACCTATGTACGTTCGTCGGTGATCCAAGTGTTTCTTCTTGATTCTTATTCTGATTCTAGAGATCTGTGTTTCGTGTTTCATCCTTTCTCGTTCTTTCGTCAAGAAATTCTCAAGTGCCAGAAAGTAAGCCTCTTTAACCTTACCAGAAATTTCGTTTTTCCTGGTGGTGTGTTTCCCTTTTTGGTTCACTGCTCCCTCGTTTCAGTTCAGATTTCGTCAAAAAAATCTGTGAATTTTCTGCAGCTTCCTCTGACCTCGTTAGCTATTTTTTGCAGAAATGAAGCGGATAAGAGATGATGTGTATGCCTCTGGGTCTCAATTCAAACGACCTTTGGGTTCTTCCCGGGGCGAATCGTGAGTTCCTGCTTTGTCACTTCGAAATTCAATTCTCTATCCTATCTATGAGCTTGTATGTTGGTTTAGCGGAGATTTTGTGCGATTATACTTTCCTTTTTTCCCTCAATGATTTCTAGGTATATGTGTCGACCATTCTTGGTGTTGTTCCTCTTCTCTTCCTCCTTTCCCGAGTTGATTCTGTTTTTTGTGGTCAATCCGTAATTTTGATTTGTGGGTTGATATGTGAATTTCTCGATTTTGCTAGTGATCGTAGGATTTTCTTACGCTCAGATGAAGTATATGTATGTTGATGCTTGGATCTCCTTGCTGCCCGTGAAAAGAAAAACTTTTCATTTCCTCTGATGTGACTGTCCGAGTCGGATTCTGTTTTGAAACCATCGCCGATTCTTATCAGATTTGGGCACTCTATCTTTGTCGGAGACGCTGTTTGCATGAACAGTTAACGAATGTGTTTGGAACAACTTCATGCATATGATCTCTGGATGCAAGTTTTTTGGGGTTTGTTGTTATTTAGAAGTCTACTGATTGATTAGGGTTTATGTGGTGCAGGTTTGGACAATCTCACATCCCAACTGCTGCTGCTGCTGCTGCAGGAGGAGGAGGAGGAGGAGGAGGAGGAGGAGGAGGAGGGGGGGACGTTGGGGATGGGGGAGGTAGCGCTCAGAAATTGACAACGAATGATGCGTTGACATACCTGAAGGAAGTGAAGGAGATGTTTCAGGATCAAAGGGAGAAATATGATACGTTTCTTGAGGTTATGAAAGACTTTAAGGCTCAAAGGTGAGACTTCTGTTATTCTTACCGGGTTGAAATTTTGAGTGCTGGACATTGAAAAAGAAGAAAGGTTAAGCTGTTTATGGGATTATTCTTCATTTTGCATTTTGCATTTGCAGGACCGACACAGCTGGTGTGATTGCACGGGTGAAGGAGTTGTTCAAGGGACATAACAATTTAATATATGGATTTAATACCTTTTTACCTAGGGGATATGAAATAACACTTGCCGAAGACGAAGTTCTGCCAAAGAAGACTGTTGAATTTGAAGAAGCCATAACCTTTGTGAATAAAATCAAGGTGGGACAGAAATCTGCTCACGACATTCTGTTATGAACTTTAGCGTGCGCATAGACTATCAATTTGTCAGTCTCTTTCTTATCAATGCAGAGGCGGTTCCAACACGATGATCATGTCTATAAATCCTTCTTGGATATCTTGAACATGTACCGGAAGGAGAACAAGGATATCAACGAGGTCTACAATGAGGTAATGTTATGCTGGATTGGTTTCATCTTTGATATACTGTCCATTCACATAGGATCTATTTTGGTTTCTGGACATTTTATAGCTTTCTGATATCTGTATTCTAGGTTTCTACTCTTTTTGAAGACCACCCGGATTTGCTTGAAGAGTTTACTAGGTTTTTGCCAGAGTCCTTGGCATTCCACTCAGTACAAATTCCCCAGTTTAGCCGGGATCAGGCACAACCCTCTAATGATCGGGGATCAGGTCCTCCTCCTGTGCGTCAAATACAAACGGAGAAGGTATGCTATTTGTTTCATCTTTTTCTTGTTTGATTGTTTTTTTGTCACGCCTCTCCTTTGTGCGACAATGCATCTTTCATCATCAGGAACGTCGACGAGAAAGAGCTGTTGCTTCCCGGGGTGACCGTGATCATAGTGTTGATCGTTCTGACCCTAATGATGATAAGGTGACGGTGAAGATGCATAGAGAGCAGAGGAAACGTGTTGAAAAGGATAATAGAGAAAGGAGAAATCGGGATTTGGATGATAGAGAGACACAGCAAGATAATTTACAACACTTTTCAGAGAAAAGGAAGTCATCCAGAAGAACTGAAGGTTTTGAGGCCTACTCTGGTCATGCTTCATATTCTGAGAAAGATAATTTGAAAAGTAAGGAAATTACAGTGCCAGGCTCAATAAAATGCATGCTTATGCATTTATATTTTATGGGCTTCAGCGCCTAAATACTTTCCTTGTCAAGAGTAAAGACTCAATGCACATTCTCACTTATGATGATGTCTATCCTTGTGAGGCCATGCCCGCTTTCTCTGCCTTCTTTAGTTGATGGATGGCCAAAGTCTTACATTCGTGTGGGAAATAAAACCATTTGTATTCTATTTTGTTAGCTAGTATTTTATGGTGCAATCAATCTGTTTCTGTTTTCTGAGATTTACAATTCTTTTTTTACCATTACTTCTATTGTGTTAGGCATGTACAACCAAGCATTCGTCTTTTGCGAGAAAGTCAAAGAGAGATTATGCAGTCAAGATGATTACCAGACCTTTTTGAAGTGCCTCAATATCTTTAGCAATGGGATAATCCAAAGGAAGGATCTGCAGAGTTTGGTAGGTTTATATCAAATGGCCTTTTTTTATTAGTGAAGGGCAGATATTGTGGTTTCCCAGGGGAAGTCCGTAATCTCCTTCTCTTGCTTTCAGGTTTCTGATCTCCTTGGAAAATACCCCGATCTCATGGATGAGTTCAATCAATTCTTTGAGCGTTGTGAGAGTATCGGTATCCAAAAATTGTGAAATTGCCTTATCAATTTACTATTGATCGTTAATCATATCGTTTCTAACAACGATCTTTTTTTGCAGATGGGTTCCAGCACCTTGCTGGTGTTATGAGCAAAAGTATGCAATAGAGTCTTTACTTGTCCATTGATATACTTGCCTCTTGGGTTTCTACTTTATGAGAACATTTCTGATGTTACTTATACATTTACTGCAGAATCGTTTAGCAATGAAGAACATCTATCCATGTCAATGAAGGTGGAGGAAAAAGAAAGAGAACACAAGCGTGATTCAGAGGCTGGTAAAGAAAAGGAGCGTTACAGGGAGAAGTATATGGGAAAATCTATTCAAGAGCTTGATCTATCTGATTGTGAACGTTGCACTCCAAGCTACCGACTCCTGCCTCCAGATGTAATAAGATTTTTTGTTCCAAGCTGCGTCACAGACATATTAACTGCTATATTACTAACATGTAAAACTTTTATCATTATTTGCAGTATCCAATACCATCTGTCAGCCAAAGATCAGAGCTGGGAGCTGAGGTTTTGAATGATCACTGGGTTTCTGTCACGTCAGGAAGCGAAGATTACTCTTTCAAGCACATGCGGAGAAACCAGTATGAAGAAAGCTTGTTCAGATGTGAAGATGATAGGTAAGTTCCATATTGGGTTTAGTTGCAAACAAGATCGTTTGTTACTGATGACATGCAAAAAGTACTAAACTTCCCCGCTTTTGTATTGCTTTTTATATTGTTGTTCTATGAAGTAAATATTGGTCTGTTATGGAACTTATGTGTAACTTACCGCTAATTACAGATTTGAGTTGGACATGTTGTTGGAATCTGTGGGGTCTACTGCTAAACGTGCAGAGGATTTGTTGAACACCATCACTGAGAACAAAATAAGTTTTGATGGTTCCTTCCGGATGGAAGACTACTTCACTGGTCTGTATGGTTTTGTTTATCTGGATTCTGGAAACTATAGTTTTGTAGATCTTGCTGCTCCCCCTTCCTCTGCTCTTCCATCTTTTGGTTTCTTACCTTGTTCATCCTCTTTTTTGACTTATTACAGCCCTGAATTTGAGGTGCATAGAGAGACTTTACGGCGATCATGGTCTTGACGTGATAGACATATTACGCAAGAATCCAGCTGCTGCACTTCCTGTTATTTTAACTCGACTTAAGCAGAAACAAGATGAGTGGACAAAATGTCGTGAAGACTTTAATAAGGTCTGGGCAGATGTTTATGATAAAAACCATTACAAATCCCTTGACCACCGCAGCTTCTATTTCAAGCAGCAGGATTCAAAGAACTTGAGCATGAAATGTAAGTGCCTTCACATATGTTAGACATTGTTCGTCAACTTTCTTCGAGTGGCCAATGTTCTTTCGACATGTTTTATTGCATAAATTCGGGCGGCACTGCTCTGTTATTGCAATTGCTCGGTCGTTCTCATTACTTTCTTTTCTGTTTCTTCTTGGTGGAACGACTAGCTTTGGTGTCTGAAATTAAGGAGCTGAAAGAGAGGTCTCAGTTGGAGGATGATATTCTCCTATCAATTTCTGCTGTTTACAGACAACCCATAATTTCACACCTTGAATATGAATTCTCTGACGGAAGTATTCATGAAGACCTGTACAAACTGGTCCAATTTTCATGTGAAGAGATATGTTCTACAAAAGAGCAGCTTAGTAAGGTTCTGAGGCTCTGGACAAACTTCCTGGAGCCAATGCTGGGTGCTCCTCCCAGGTCGAAGAGCACAGAATCTGTTGAAGATGTTGCAAAAGCCAAGCATCCCGATGTGAATCACAGTCCATCCGCCAATGGGGAAGCAAATATTAGCTCTAGAGCTGATCCAGCAGGGTTGGGTTCGAGACAACTAAAATTTGCTGTTAATGGAGACGAGTATGCCTCATCTGGGGCTTCCAAACATGGCGGGATTGGTTTGGGATGTAGGGATTCCTCAGGGAAAGAAACTCATAAAGATGTCGATGCTGCCACTAAGGATGATGCTACCTGCCCTGATGTTAAACCTCAGAAAGACCAAGAGATCATAAACGAGTCTGATAAAAGATCAGGAAGCGGAGATATGGAAGTTGATGAAAGAGTAGCCACTTCAAATGCACCATCTTCAAGTGGGGTAGAAAACACTAATGGTAAACTAGGAAGCGGAGATATGGAAGGTATTGTCCGAGTTGAATTTGAATTTCTTACTGGTGGTTATGTATTTTATTCAGCATAAGACATTGGCATACATTTCTTAACTTTATTTTTCAAGGTTCTCTTGGTATTCAACCAAGACCAAATGACTTCACCAAGATACATCATGGGGTAGATAACACAGATATTGAACGTTCAACTCAGGTACTGTACTCAGTTTCCGTTCTTAGCACATGTTCTCTGTCTTGGATCTGCTTTTTTCAATTTATATCAATGGTCTTGGTGTCTTCTCAGGGTGGAGACGTTGGCAAATCAATGGTTTTAGCAAATGGAATATTATCGGATGCTTCTAAAGTCGATAGGAATTATAATGAATTTATTGGCCCATCCAAAGTTGAGAAGGAAGAAGGTGAATTGTCACCTAATGGTGATTTCGAGGACAATTTTGGTGTTTATGGAGATCTAGGTGTGAAGTCCACCCCCATAGAGCAGTCAGCTGAGGCTGAAGGAGAAAATGATGAAGATGCTGATGACGTGGATAGTGACAATGCTTCTGAGGCTGGTGAGGTTGCATCAGGAACAGAATCTGGTGGTGATGAATGCTCACAGGACGAGAATGGAGGGGAGGAAGATGGTGGACATGATGAAGTTGATGGTAAGGCTGAGAGTGAAGGAGAAGCGGAGGGAATGGACTCACATCTTGCAGAAGGAGATGGTGGTTTGCTTCCATTGTCAGAACGCGTTCTTTTGTCTGTCAAACCTCTTTCCAAGCATGTAGCTTCGATATTGCTCGATGAGAGAAAAAAAGATTCAAGGGTTTTCTATGGGAATGACGACTTTTATGTGCTTTTGAGGCTTCACCAGGTATGTGCATCATTAATTATGATTACTTGTTCAAATTTGTCTGATAATTCTTTTACTTGCAAGATATGTTGCCTCTAGATGTGATTTTATGTGCATTTTCCAGATCCTGTATGAGAGAATTTCGTCAGCTAAAACGAAATGCGCCGGCTGTGAGATGAAATGGAAAAATTCGAAGGATTCCAGCTCACCTGATCCTTATGCAAGGTACCTTCGCGTCATTTATATGCAAATACCATATATATTTTACTATTATCTATTCAATTAAAAAATTTCTTTTTATTCCTATGTCTTAGCTGTACCTTCCTCTGTTTGCCGTACAGATTTTTGAGTGCACTGTATAGTTTGCTTGATGGATCAGCTGATAATACCAAGTTTGAAGATGAATGCAGAGCTATTCTCGGAAATCAATCATATGTGTTATTCACGTTGGACAAACTGGTTTACAAATTGGTTAAACAGGTTCATGCAGACATCAATGGTTTTAAATTTTGGATATTTTGAGCTTTATCCTGTATTTTTCTTGTGATATTCTGACTTTTATCTGTCGCAGCTCCAAGCTGTCGTAGCTGATGACATGGACAATAAGCTTCTTCAGTTGCATGAATACGAGAAGCTCCGGAAACCTGGAAAGCTTGTGGACTCAGTCTATTACGAAAATGCCCGGGTTCTTCTTCATGAAGAAAATATTTACCGGTTGGAATGTGTGAGACCCCTGATCTCATACCCATATTTTTTTTTGTCTTAGCTGAGCAATTGCAGTCATTTTATTGATGCTGAAAACTTAGTACGTTGTCTAATTCATCTGCAGTCATCATTGCCACCTCGTCTGTCCATCCAGCTTATGGACAACATAATTGAAAAGCCAGAGGCATATGCAGTTTCTATGGATCCCGCTTTTGCCAGCTATATGCAAAATGAGTTCCTCTCTGTTTCATCCGGGAAAAAGGAACAACGTGACATTGTGTTGCGAAGGTATAAAAACCCTTAAAAAGGAATTATAGTGATTTACTTTGCCTCTTAAGCGAATAAAGTAATGGTTCCAAAAAGTGCATATGTATTAACAGTGCGAGATAGTTAACCAATCTGTTGGCTGACTTTGGCAGAAACAAGAACAGATATGCTGGTGTGGATGATCTTTCTGCGTTTTGCGAGGCCATGGATGGTGCTGAAGTCATAAATGGCCTCGAGTGCAAGATCTCATGCTCTTCATACAAGGTAATGATCTCGGTCTTTATTTAAATTTTGGGTGGGAAACGTGATACTCCAGCCAAACCATGATCCAAATATGGATTAGACCGTGGCTTGGGCATCCGATTACGAAGGATCAGATTCTTTAATATCGACATTGTTGGATTCTATCCAAATCTGGATATGTAAAATTGTAAACCAATCTGTAATTTTTTCCCCCTGTCCATTCACCGGTTCTTCCATCTGTCATGTTCTTGTAGATTTCGTATGTATTGGACACGGAAGATTTCTTCCACAGGAGGAAAAAGAGGCGAAACTCGCCTCAGGGGAATGACCGGGATAGAGTGGAAAGATTCCACAGGTTCCTCACAGCCTCAAGATGACAAACAAAAGCTCCATTTGTCGGGGGGGTTTCCTCTCTTGTTTCACACACAACAAAGGTAACTCTCTCAGTGCTTCTCAGTCTCACTTGCCTTGAGACAGGCAGATATACAGCTGGGTAAAGTGTATGTGTACGTCTTGTATTGGTCTGAGGTTAAAATGTTACGTGTGTACGTAAGAGGTGGTTTGTAAATATTTAGAGGGCACATCATAATAGACAGAACAGGAGTAGGTTTGTTCTTGTTCTTATACATGTTTGGTCCTTGTTATTTTCTTTTGAGAAATTGTATAAAATATTATATTATTATTATCAAGGATGGAACTTTCTGATTTTAACCCAGTTAACTCGGCTCTGGAGTTTGTCTTCTCTTCTGTTGTACTACATTACGCGCTTTAATCGCGCGTGGAGTCATGTCTTGGTGTATTTACAGGCGCCACCACGTTCCTACTCCTCTGTCCGATCTCCATTGGGCCTTTAATGGGCTTACAGTTGGCCTTTGTCAAGGTTACTAATTGATTTTGGGTGGGGTTTAGGGCCCACTGTATTAACAAACGTTTTAGCCCAAAACTTTAACTTACAAAACAAAAACGAACAATTTTAACTAATAGGCAGGTAAGTGAGACTCACTCAGCAATCCTTTGATAGGCTTCCGAAATTGCCCTTTATGGCTTCCCTCCCTCACCGCCGGCGCCTCGTAACATCGAACAATCCTCTGGGCTCATCCTCGACAGGAAACATCTCCCAACAACTCTTTCTTGATCTTCCTCGAAATCTCCGATATCTGCAGAGTTTACTTGTGAAACAAGATACAGAAAACCCTAAAAGATCTGAAAGAGATGGTTCAAATAGAAGCTTGTTGTTACATCTGGGTTGTCTTGGAGAATCCGAGGATGTTGTTGCAACGTCCAAAGTGTTTTCTGGAGCATTCCCACCAGCAAATCCACTTGATCTCCCAGTAGATCAACCTATACATTGCATCAAACTAACAATTTTTCATCGAGGGTGGAAATTTTATCAACAATCTTTCATAAATTCTTTTGGGTAAATCGTTAATCTGCTCAAGAAGAAACCTCAGCTTCTGCCTTTCTGAGATTCTCACACCTCAGAGTGAAAGCCCTTCTGTAAACCGATTCTTTCTCTCTTAATGAACCTATGCAATCGATCGTCTTCATCTCTAATTCTTTCAACCTGCAGAATAGCAGTAATCTGCAAAAAGATCATAAATTCTCTTCAGAAATGGAGGAATGACATCGAACAACTGACCTGAAAGTCACCATCCTTAACTTTTCTTGAACCTTAGACCCGAAATCCTCCGAGACTTGCGTCATTTTTCTGCAACACTGAACTAAACCACGGGCTCTGCTCCTTTCCTCCTCAATCATCCTTTCGCTTCTTGATTCGTATCGTTCATGTATTTCGCTTACATGGTTATTTGCATCTTCTGAAACTTGTTTCAGAATCTCTTGTGTCAGAATCCCATCTATCTCTTGTCTGAGTTCTTCATCTCTGCAACGACTTTCAGTAACTCTGTCCCATTCCCTCAGCATTTCCTTGAAAACAACTCCATTCACATCTTCTTTTAAGCTGCTCTCTAAACAATCTGCACAATTTCTTGAGGCATTGTCTAAAACCAGTCTGCATATATCTTCCCTCATCTCAAATTTGATCTTTCCACTCTCAATCTCCTCTTCTCCGTTGTTTATGATTTCGTCGATAATATTTCCGTGCAGAACTTCTGCTATTAGATTCCAAATGCCATAAGCTTGCAAGTCCGTGCAAAACCCATTCATGAGACCTTTGAAAAGTGTCAAGTAAGTATCTTCCAAGATCATCGCCATTGTCTCTGCATCTTCCTTGTCTTCACACGGAGTTCTAATGGCGGTCGCTTCATCTGAAACAGTTCCTCTGTGCATTTTCAGCCAGACATCATCTAAACTATCTCTGACTACTACTTCATGATCATTGTCAGTTCCAGATGCCTTTCTCTCTGAATAAGTATTCATCAAAATCTTAGCTTTATCATCATCATCATCATCCCACAGATTTTGATTCAGTTTTGTGCTGAAGGCAAGTAGTAAAGTGTCTAGTCTCGTGATGATATCGTCTATAACCCGCTTCGAGCTATCATTGTTCTTCTGCCGTTTAGTAATAAGCTCTGGTTTCAGTGGAACGAGCTCTTCGCTTTTTTTCCTAATGATGGATTCATGGTTCTTTATCAACTTTGCTACATAGTTGCCTCCATCTTCCTCAGCCTCTGCATCTTCTTCTTCTTCTTCTTCTTCTTCATCTTTATTACCATTATTATTATCAGAATCATCATCTAATGAAGTTCTTGCTGCAGATCTCGGAGACCTACTCGTGCTCTCGTTCTGAATGGCGAAACACTCCACCTCCCTACGTATTGAAGAGATCTGAACAGTGAAGTCTGATATAAAGTCTCTGAATACGACAGAGGCTTCCCTCTCTAGCTTCTTTCTTTCCTCTTCGAAGTCGTTCTTGCAATTCTCCATGAAACCCTTAATCAGTATAGCCTCAGTATCTTTCTCTATCGACCATCTCCATGTCTGCTCTATCGGCCTCAACTCAAATAAGAAAATGGCATTGTGCATTTTGCTGAAAGCAAGATCCATTGTGCCTTTCAACACGTCGATATCTATACCCATCTTCTCGATCTTGTTGTTATCGATCCTGGGATTCGTTTTCTCTTCTTCTTCGTCGAGCGAACCGTATTCCGGTTCGACCTTTTGCCTGATGTGCATCACTTGCTGATCTACCAGATTCTTCAACTCGGAGAATTCGACCTCTTTGCTGCTATTGATGAATTCTTCGAGTTCCTCGCTCCTCTTTCTCTCAAGATTCTCCTGCAAATGAACCAACTCGGTTTCTTTACACTCAAGAACCTGTTTCAGCTTCTGCTCATTCTCGGACATCTCCAGAAAGGCTCTGTCTTTCTCAAGAATGGCCAGTTCGGTTTCTAAGAGACGGCGATTAAGCCTGTCTCTGATCTCTCTGAGGTCGTAAAGCTCTTCCTTGTGGTTACTCTCGAGGACCGAATTGTCGGCTTCTTGTTGGACGAAGCTGAGACAGCTGTCGAGTTGCATCACGGCGAACTCGTAGAACACGGATATGGCGTTGAGACGGAGCAGAACACTCGGCCCTGTTTTGATCTTCTCGTGGGCTCTGTCCATTGCTTGTTGCACAAGCAACATCATCGTCGAGTCTGCAACCGAGAATCTGAACTTCTCTTCCACGTCCTTTATCAGATCCTCCATTTCTTCTCTTTGCTTTTGCGAATGGATCCGAGGAAAAATAACCGTGCTTTCACATTTCTTTTAACACTTTCCCTTAACCAAAAGGATGATGGTCTAAACTGGCCCTGTTCTCAAGGATCTGGTTCGCAGGATTATCGGGAACGTCCTTTGTCTGTCATCAGAAAGGATGTATTGGGCATTGATCGTTTACTGTTCAGCAAGTTATATTTAGCCATACGGAAACTGTGAACAAAAAGAGCGTTAGCGGAGACCGGTGGTATCGCATCGGTTCTTGAGCCACCAATCCAAAACCCAATAGACATCATTCTCTGACTCTCCGACGAGCCAGGGACAGATCAGGAACCGCATGATCTCGTAGGCAGTTGCGGCCAGTGGCCTCCGAGGACGGAGCTTCTTCTTCCTCACGGTTCCTTGGAGGAGGGCCGGAGGTGATTTGGCTCGGGGAAGCCATGGACGACGGATGGAGCCGAGGGCTTAATGAATAGTGAAGTTAGGCTTTTATTATACGAATGAGCCAACATAACACTCGTGGGATTAAACATCATAATCCTGGTCTTCTTTTAATAGTTTGCAGTCATATTCTGGGATTTAAGAGAACGTCACCAGTGAAGACAGAAACATGGGAGCAAATCCTTTAACTTCCATCTACTTTCTCCCCTTTTCTAAGGGCAATTTAAATGCATAAACCTAGAAAAAACATGAAATGGAAAAGAACAAAAACACTATTGCCGCCTGAAGATGATGCCCTATTCCTTACCACATAGAGCTTTGTTGATTATTACATTCTCCTATGATTTCTTTCTGGCTATAAAATTCTACTATAATGTTCATATAAACTATAACTACAAGAACTATATAAGTTTGGGAGAGAAGATTATGAAAATTGACGATTTGATTTAAGAGATTATAAATTAAAATTGGGAGAGCAAAGGAAAAGGGAGAATATACATTGTGTGGTCCTCTCCATTGGCGGACGGTGTGATGATTTACAGCAACCCAACAGCACAGCTGAGATGCAATCTATTCTCCAACCCTCTTAGATGGTGTCCCATTAGCATACACCTGAAACCACGTAGAACCAAATTAATAACACATAACCGCAATCGAATCGAATTCGATATAAAACCAGAATGGTTATGATTTCTCTGAACTCGAACCGAACCGAGTAAAAATAATAACCGGAAAAAACAAAAAAAAAATCTTTGAAATTTGAATATTTTTATCAATAAGAACCGAATTCGATACAAAAAACGAATGGTTAGATTTTTCTAAAACCAAAATAACCAAACCCAAATATATAGAACCGAAACCCGAAATGACTATCCCTAGCAGAAACTATTATAGATTCCATTTGGATCCAGCTTATATTGATATAGTTTTTTCCTTTTAATGTAGCAGCAGACAATTTGAGATACAGTGTGTAGTCAATGAAACCTCAGCCTTACCAAAATCTTCCAATGTTGTAAGCATTCAGAGAAGCAATAATTCGACCACCAACCAAAAGTGTTAAGATTGGTAAGAACCTGAAACTTACCAGAAAAGGAGCTTTGCAAGATAATCCCGGGATGTGCCTACTGTTCTACAAATTTCAGAACCACCTTCTTGATTGCCCTCCGATGTCCTTACGGTAGGATCTCTTACAAAATCTGAAGTAGTTTTCTCTTCAAACGTCTTCTGCAATACATTTTGGACAAGTTGGTTTATGATCTCCTCCACCTCTGGAGATGATGGTCGAGATAATTCAGTCACCTACCAACATGAATTTAGTCATCAGATGTTACGTTACAGAGGAATTTTGAAGATGAAGATGTTGAAAACAAATATCAAGGGAACCTCAAAGTTCAATACCATCTCAGGATCTAACGAGCGTAAATACTCCAGCAAGTCATTTTTGTTTCCCTTCTCAGGTTCTATCTGTAGTGTTTTCTTCTTTTGGGCATCTAGTTCCTGAAAAAAAAACGTATAAACACAAGATCAAAACTCAAAGTATGAGAAACCACCCATCAATTACTAACACAGAAACAGATATCTGAATCAACCCAAGTCACAGGAACCAAAAACCATGCAGAAATAGGCTACTGAAGACAAACGGCTTGCAAAAAGCGACACGTTATGATGAAAAGAACAACAACTATCAAGAATTTTACTTCCAAAAGTCTGCCCGCACTGCAAAATTCTTTATCAAACAGAGATTACTTATATTGCTCCAAAGTACACAAGATTCTAGCATCAATCCATTGTTCACCCACACCAAGACAACACGTTAGCTTACGAAACAAAACATGGATCTGACATTACCTCCTTCATGCTAAATAACTCAGACTGCAGTTGTTGGATATAATTCAACGCTTCAGGTGGCAAACCTCCCAGCACCTGAGGACTCATCCTTTCCGATTCCTCAGAACAATTCCCTAATTCCTCATTCTCTCCCTTCTCTGAACCAAATCTACCATTCTCCTTCGAAGATTCTTCTTCCTTCTGCCTATTATATACCGGTATATCCAAATTCCTCGTCAAGGATATACGATACTCCGCATTCCACAAGGTATACCTAGAACCACGGAACGAAAACCACCGAAACGTAAGAAGCGAATCCCAATTTACGTAGCGCAGACGGAGATTATTCGAATTAGCCGATATGAACGAGAAATCAGGCAGAGTGACCGAAATTTACCCGGCGATGATCGAGGAAATAAGAAGGCGACGAAGAGGCTGCTCATGGACGGCGACGGAGACGGAGAACTGATCAGAGGGAAGGAGTCCGAGCATAGAAGATATCGTCTGCTTCATCGAGTCCTTAGCCGAATCCGAAAGGCCTTTGGAGATAACGGACGTGTCAAGCGGCTCGGTCCGGGTCATCATGTTGGCGATCACAGCAAAACCTCTGTCCAACTTCGACCGGCGCGTGGAGACATAGGAGTCGTCGGAGGAGACTCCGCCGCCGCTGAGACAGCAGATGGCGGCGGAGGAAACCCCGCGGATTGGGAGCCAGCGAGGAGAAGGCGGAGGCAGCGGCCGTGGAGAGTAAAGGATGGGTTTCTTGTGAGAAAGGTTGGTGACACGAGAGAGCGCGAAGGCTCGAGCTGATGCGGCCGCCATAAACGAGCGTCTCGAGACCCGAGCTCCGTCTTCCTCTCCCCCTCTCTCTAACCACTGTGTGGCTGCGTGATGCGGAAGAATTTCATATTTATTCATATGGAAACATTTTAATGAATATATCATTTATTTATTTATTATGATTTTTCTTGTGGGTTTTGTAGCCCACTAATTCTAGATTCTGGTCTCTTCTGTTTGTGTTTGCGAGCGAGAGGGCGACGGCAATCTAACGGAAGAAACTTTCATTTAACGGACTTGTTGGTGAAGGTCAGCGTCCAAATCACTACAGAAACTAGATTCTGTTTTTTCCGCTCCTTACACTTAATTGAAGAAAACCTAACATTTTAATAATTTAATATTGAAAAAAAAAACATTTTCCTGGAATATTTTTAATGCTTATCATTTGTCATTTTATTATGAAATTTCCCCTGATTTTCATTCCGCCCACTAATTCTTAATAAATGAGTAACTTGCAGGGATCTCGAGGAGAATATTTGATTTATATTTGACTCCCATGATTCGAGTTTATTGAAATACAAAAGATGAGGATAACATTTACCAAAGAAAGATTTATGCGGTTCGTGTCTAGAGAGAATAAAATACCAAGATGTTCCAAATCAAAGCATGAAAGGGGAAAAAAAACGAAACCGGTCTGGTCCGTAAAGAAAAATTATTCAGTTGAAGTTGCTTACAAAAAGGTAAGAACATTGAGAGAGATGATAACCAAACTATGGCTCGACAACACTCACTTGCTGCCATTCGCCATCAGCTTCTTTCCACAAGGTCACGTTGCTGTCCCCGTCCGAGACTGCCAACAAGTTGCCCGTCAACGACCACGACACTCCCCACACCGGTGTCTTAAAATCCTTCATAACCTTAACTTCCCATTTCTCACCTTCCTTCCCCACCGTCCATATCACCACCGTCCCGTCTTGTGAAGCACTTGCTATTGTTGATTTCGACAGACCCAAGTTCGGTGCCCATGCCACGTCCCGGACCCAGTCACTGTGCATCTGTAGAGCCGGGAAGCAGTCCTTCTCCCACGAACCATTGTGGAGTTTCCACACTTTCACGGTGCTGTCCCAACCGCCAGAGGCTAGCTTGTGAGCCGGCTCGAGCAGACCAGAGCCAACCAGGGCACCTGGGCTGGTGGCCGGTGCCCACGAGACTGAAGTGACGCCAACTGGGTGGGCTTGGTCTATCCTAGCTGTGTCCCAACCACCATCAGCCCTGGCGGTGAAAACTGATATGTTTCCATCGGATGACCCACATGCCAAGGAGAGTCCAAGTTCATGGGGTGCCCATGATATAGAGTTCACCGACGACTTATGCTCAGTGAAGACATGAGCCTGCGTCCATTCATTTTGGTTATCTTCCTTCCAGATTATGACTTGGCCATCGTATGAACATGAAGCCAGGATTGAACCAAACTTTGGGTGCGCCCAAGCCACCTGCCAAACAGGGCCTCTGTGCCCGGTCAAGGTAGCTAGGTGTTGTGATCCGGCACTGTTCCCTACGCCAGTTATCTTGATCGTGCAGTCAGACGAGGCAGTTGCTACACGCTTTCCATAGTAATCCATCTGCACATCATGGACCATGTCCTCATGACCCGTTTCAATCTTTTGGGCAGGCATGTTTCAAGAGTGCTTTCCCCTGCGAGAAAAGTACATTGCGTGATTATGGATTTAGAACTTATATGATCTAACTATAAGGCTCATAAAAAAAGATAGGCCACGGAGCATATAACTAAGTTATCTTTCTTCAAACATACACAAGCTGATACAAACATCATCGTTTAATGATTAAAGAATGGTTGAGCAGACATTAACGACCGGAAGCAAGAGGTAATATATGGAAACATAATTACAAACATGGCTTTGTAAAATCACACCACCAGTACTACCCTCGAAGTCTATGATCCGCTTTTCTTTGATTTCGTTGATAAGACATTGTGGTAAGAGGATGCTCACATGTGCAATACCCAAAAAAAAATGCTGGAAAGCTCTTTCTAAAACTCTGAATTCTCCCTGGACAACAAATTTAGAATTCAGTAACTTTTCAGAATCCATTCAACTCGAAAGTGGAATAAGATACCAAAATATATGTCCACAATAAAAAAATTGAAGCAAACCAGTGACCCTCAAAGATCCACTTCTCTCATAGAACTGGTAGTCAATAAGAATGAACATATTAGAACTTAAAAACCCTAGAAATCAAGGGTAAAGTTGCCAAAATTGCAATTTGCAATCTTCTACGACAAAATTCATCAAACAAATCCACAGATCTCAACAATTTTCTGTCGGAGACCAGTAATTACTAATTGTTTTACTGTCATGGCTAAAATTCGACCCTGACCACTGATCACACCCGCACAAAAACACATGATGTAATGGTTCGTTAACAGATATCTCACAGCAGCCATGGATTACATTACTACCATCGAAACAAATCGAGCTCGGATGTTCGATTAACCGGTATCTACAAGAAATTCGGTGGGCACACACCTATCAAAACCGCAACGACTAGACCCTCGTAGACGACAGCAAAGCACATGAATCAGATTCAATATGCTGCGAAGTTCGAAATCCAACAAAAGATCTCACAGGAAAATCCAAGAGATTCAAAATCATGCCTCTAACATAAAAGTCGAAGAGATTATCGCATACCGTGAGCGAGAGACACAGATCTACGTGATCAAAATTGCCGCGGCAAGACGAAGACGAACAAACGAATGTGGACGATCAGAAATCAAGCTGCGGTGGATCAGGAGCGACAAACGAAGGAAGAAGAGTATCCGTCTGTTTTGCACGAGCAAAACGCCTATACACAGAGCAGGATCTAGGCGAAAGGATTGTTTGGAAATGGAGTTGATGTAAACCTTACCCACGATAAGCATATGTTTACTTGGGATATGAAATTAATATAAACCTGAAAACGAATCCAAACGGGGAAAATAAAATAAGTTCAATTCAAAAAAAAAAGTAATTAACGGATATAAATAAGATTTGGAAGTTATTTTATGAAAAAATCAATAGATTAGTGCGCTTTGAATGGAAATGGCTTTTATTTTGGATTTTTTGTTTTAGTTTTTGAATTTTGGTTTTTAATTTTTAGTTTTTGACTTTTAGATTTTATAATATTTCAAAACTCAAAAAAAGTAGCTCTTGTTTTTTCATTGTTTTTTTCACTAAAATGGTTTTCCAAATTTTTAGAAAAAGTAATTTTGTAAAAACTTGAATGATATTTTTTTTTGTTTTTAGATTTTAAAAACTCCAAAAACTCACGCCAACCTAAAATTTATTTATTTATAAACGAATTGTTGAACTTTTCTTTGATTTCCCACATCTCCATTAAGGAACCATATTCCCAATAAGAGATATGGCACATGAACTTTGACAAAAAGAAATTAACAACGGGTAAAAGGAATACACAAGAAACCAAAGGGATTCAACCCTTTTTTCTTCTCACCTGTTAAAAATATATTTCGAAGCCAATTTGGAGGATACAAATAACAGAAAAAGATGCCTAAATGCTTTAGATCAAACACTCTGCACAATGATTCAGACAAGAACCTCATCTTCGTCTTCGAAACTCAGATTCAGCGTATGTAACTTGAAGCCTGCCCCTTGTATGACCTCCACCAAGCTCGATGCCACCCCTGTTGCCTGAACTGTCGTCTCCTTTTTCAGCTGCAGTCCCAGAAGACAGACCCATCATTTTTCTTTTTACATCGATCCAGATTTGGACCATAGTTCATACCAAACTACAGAGTAATGCACGTATACATTCACCAATGTAATCACACTCGCGTTTCCTCGCAGAGCAGATCTTGAACTTATCAAAGGTTATCCATTTCAATCCCGGCTTCAAAGGTTTGTTCGTACATATCGGCTAACACATATATATCGGCATCGCGACTAATCGAAGAAGGACATGGCTTCAAACTGTGCGGGGTATAACACAAAAGAAGGTCGTCTCCTAAAGTACGAAAGAATGTCACCCTCATCATAATACCTAGGCTTACAATTAAACTTGGGTTTCAGAATGCTTTTTTTTTTCCTTTTTTCAGGATCGTTTCGGTAATTTTCCCTGTATATGTGTAATGTTGGTGTCGTGCTCATGTGTAAAAAAACGCAATAGCGACACAGAAACATTTAAGATAAACATACCTCAACAGTGGCAATACCCTCGGTCACTTGGACCTTCAAGTTTGAAACTCCTTCGATACCCTGAAGGAAGAAATCGGAAATACTTCATCATTTCTAGAAGTAAAAATAAAAGCAAAAAAAAAACTTTTGGTTAAAGAGAAATTCAGATTACAGCATCTGATAATACCCAGGAAAGAGTTCACAGAACATAACAAGTTATCAGTAGATTCAATGAAATCACACATACATATTCCATACATTAAGCAAAAACTGAATAGAAACCAAGAAAGAGATTCCAGACAGGTTCCATAGTTTATATACTAGTTAAGAAGCTCCAGAGAACAAGCCACAGAAACAGAAATTTGAGCGTAGTGTCATTACCTCTACGGCCCTCGTGACATTAGGGATTGCTGTCTCGTTCAAAGTTCCGTCAGCCTTCAAAACAAAGCAGAAGACAACAATGGACAGAACAAACTCAGACCGGTAAGGGAAAGTACGAAAACCTTGGAGACATGGGTATGGGGAGATCTTCCAAGCAGGCATTAGACTTATTAAACCAACTACTTCCAGAAACGGAGTAAACAACACTAAACATTGAGGTCGCTGAAGAAAGACGGAATCTCAATTTATGAAGAAGCCCTGAAACTGTCCTCCTTCTGGGTAACTCGTTCATAGTACCTGACCCATAACATCATCTATACGCAAAACAACTCATTGAATGGAGATACTAACATAAACAGATGAGAAGCTAGATTACCATCTTGAGAGAACTGAAATCATTGAATGTGATCAGAGGCAATCTTGCACAAGCAACTCGTTTTTCGGATAAAGAATCAACAATTCTGCAAACGGAGTACAGAAAACGTACCTGAAAAAACATGGTGAGCGAGTCCGAAGGTGAGACAGGGACGGACACGGTTTCTTGCTGCTGCTGCTGCGGTTGCTCTTCCTCTGCAATTGCAACCCCTTCTCCTCCTTCTTCAACCGACCTCATCTTCCCCATCCGACGGCGGTTCTGTCTCTGAAAATTATCAACACTGCAAATTTTGAAATCTCCGGTGGTTCTGGTCCGAAAGCCGAGGTTTTTTGGCAAAGGAAGAAGATGGGTCGACGAAAGACTAGGGCTTCTCACTCTGCAGAACGACTGCAAGGTAGAAGAAACTGCAGTAGACGCCATTCTGCATAAAGATTAGGGCTTCTCTGCCGGAGGTTCTGAGTAGCAAAAGAGGGATAGGGTTTCGAGGATTCTATTATGTCGTCCTCGCAATGGTTCGGAATTTTTTTCTCCGCATTATCCATTTGGGCAGTGGCACTTCTCTTTCTTTTCCGGGGAGTGGTGATCATGTTAAAAGACATAAATACCCCTTACAAATTTTCCTGTCTAACCAGAAGACAATAACTGGGCTTTCGCGGGGAATAGCCCAATCACGTGGGGAAGGTGCAGAAAACAGCGTGTCGTTCTATGTCATACTAATTGACTGCATGCCGTTTATTAGGTTTAAACGAAGATAATATTAGTATTTACAAATTTGACCCAGAAGTTAACGGATTCTCAAATTCGATCCTATACTTTCACGAACGTCAAATTTTCCCCACACGAGAGCAACAACACAATATGTTTTTATTAAAAGTTTCTTCATAATGGAAAACAGACACGACCAAATACATCAAATGGGATTATACCAAAAAGCACACGATGAAAAACAAGGTTCCAACAATATGATAACGAATAGTTATATCGATTTTTATTTATCGGATTAGGCCGGAATGCGGAGGTAGAGGGGGATAGGGTTTTCCTTCACAGGTGGTGAATCCCATACCGAAAAGGCACTCTCAGAATTCATCCACTTATCGGTCATGTCCGAGTAATGACGGTCCAAAACATCCTTTAGACTCTCCGTAGTATTCACCCATTCGAACCCTTTCTTGGTGTATGTCTCCTCGTTGAAGTTGCTCGTAAAGAATCTATCAGCTTCCAACCTCCTGAAATTACAAAAAAAAAAGTAGTATTATAACAAAATAAATAATTGTTTCCATTTATAATAGAGTTTTATAAATAATAATAATAATAATAATAATAATATCCAACGGGTTTAAAGATAATGTAAGACGAGACTGAATCAGTGGGATTAATGAGTACCTTGTGGCCATGAGGAGGAAAATGACAAAAGCGGTCTCGCTAATAGCGAAGCCTTTGATTTTTTTCTCTGCCATAAGGCCCACCATAATATCAAGCTCCTCCACATCACCACCGTACACGTCATCAAGCACCTCTATGGCTTCCTTGTCGTCCGTCAGATCTTCCCACTTCGAGATCGGAATCAGAAACAATGCCCTCCTGAAGTCGTTGTAACGTGCGACGCTCCTCTCCCTGTCCCTATAGACTAAAACACCCCCACACACACGTGATACATAACCATATATCAGGAAAATAAGGGCATTATAGTCATTATATACATGTTTACTTTTGCCCTAGGAGTTTCACGCATATTATTTCTATATATAAATTAACCTAAATGCACATATTTATAATTATATGGTGTATGTATAGGAAGAGCTTACTCTCGAGGGCGGCGAGGTCGACATGGTCGGGACGATCACGGCCGTCGGGGTCTTGAGGAACAAGATCACGGAGCCATTCGGGATAATTCCAGAGCTCGAGGGCCCCACATGCCTGGTGGCCCATTGACACCATCAGGTTTGTGAACCCTATTTCTGAAAGCGTCGTCTCTCCCTTTCGACCAATCAAATTCCCCATATTAACTCTGTAAAAAAAACAAACCCATTAGAACAATGAATGCCGTCACTAAAAAAAAGTAATATTAAATACGGATTTTTGAATGTATACGGTGTAATATACGTACGTGCTGGCCACGGGGAGAGATTTGTTGGTCCCGGGTTTGACTTTGGTGTCACGTAGAATAAGGTCGTCGGGTAAAAGAGGGTGCATTCTGTAAACACTTGTGAATTCTTCGGTTAGAGAATATGGAACTCCATGGTTTTGAGGCTTCTTTAGACCCACGAGTCCTCCTAAGACCGAACCCCCCACGTGTCCGAATGCATCTTTGAATTTTTTCCCTAATAACCCGTACCTGAAAATTTCGATATTATATGAATTATTTTTCAAATGGTTACATATTGATCTAATATATATATATATATCGCTAGGTGTCTGACCAGTTTGCACGCATCCCGGCGCGTAACATATCGGTCTTGAGAAGCTCGACGGTCCAATCAATGGTATGGATCTTAGCTATCACTGCCGACGTCACCAATCGCGCATGGCGATACAAATCTTCGTCTTCCAAATCAGGATATTCCTTCTGCAACATCACAAATTAAACAAACCCAATTTAGAGAGAGAGAGAAAAAGCTTGTGCCCGTGTTATAATTTAGCTGTGAAATCAAATATCAGACCTTGAGCGCGTCACAGACGGAGTTGTGCTCCATTACGAAAAGGGATTGCAGGACGGAGACGCCGGCCCAGCTGTTGCGAACGTCGCCGGAGACGGCTAAGCCGTCCTCTCCGACATGGAGGAGCCCTTTTTCCGACGATATCTTTAGTTTCCCGTCTTTGTACGTTCTCACTCTCTCCAACATCTTCGCATTGCTTCCATATATCACACTCGAATCCCTACACCATCATATCCATATATTATATCATATGCATGCTCTTGTTAATTATTCTATTCTATTCTATAGTTTGAACCTATACCGATTAGGGGATATATATGCTATAAAAACTCTAACAAATATTAGGTCACGTAATTTGTTTTTCTCTATGTCTATCGATCGATTTCTCTCGTAAATAACTCGGGTTTTCTTATGAAACGTTATACGTAGCATGTACGAACGAGTGGGTGTGACTGTACGTATATGCGCACGTATACGTACCTGAATGAATGTGTTAAGTGATGTGTAATGTATACGTACGTGCATGCATGATTGGACACACTTACCACCAAGGTGTACGGATATTAAGGGAACCGGTCTTGGTGTCGAAGAAACCGGTCGGCACTTCCTTTGTCTTGTAAAACCTAAAGGACTTTAATGGGCATTTGTTCGCTACTTCTCTTGGCGCCACCAGTTCGATCTGCATTTTTAAACCCAATTAGTCTATGTATTTACACAAATGATGCAATTTATTTAGGGCAATCCAACAAAACCTTTTCTTAAATAAGGAATATGTTATATATATATATATATATATACATGGTTATTACGATATATATATAGAATTCGGAGGACCACATGTTTTGGCGTTTTTTGCTGTTTTGTGTTTTCCTGTTTTTATCGTATTCTTCAATCTGTGTGGACATTAGGTCCCACCGTAAAATTAAAAAACAAAAAAGCATATTCTTCAATAAAAAATTGTATTAAAATGTGAACCGCGTGTCTACCATATGGTCCTACACACCTATTGAGGTGAAATTATGTAGGTAGGGGAAACCCGCAGTTATGTATACCCTACGTACGGAGATTTTTTTTTTTTTTTTGCTAAGATTGAAACCTATCCTACAATTTCGGATCGGGCATCGGACACCGCAACGCCTCTCAGCCCATGGTCCGGACGAGAACGGCATTAGGATAACATCGTGGACGTGAGAAATTAAAAATGTAGGACTGCAAAAATTTCACTATCAAATTAATTTTCTCTTCTTTTGTTAAAATTTAATTAATTTTCTCTTTTCCACAACGGGCCCTCGAACACTAGACTACTAGTCTCCAATCGAAAGTCTATGCGTAAAATTATATTTTTTTTTCTTAGTAAAAAGGGTTGATAACGAAAAATATTGTAAAAAGCAAAGGAACATATTAGCATCGACACTACAATGCATCAATCTAACACTAGAAAATTAAAAAACTAACGAATATCATAAATAAATAAATAACTATATAGTGGTGGGGAAAGGAAAAAATAATTATTTGATTTATAAAAATGACAAAAAAAATAAGTAATAAAATGTAACCTGGTGGGTGTCTTCCAAATGATCGATCCAGTCATGGATCATGAACTGAATCCACGACGTAGCGATAATATTGAATTGTTTTCCCGTGTCTATGAATTTTCTTCTTGCCAATAGCTTCGTGGCCACCACCATGGGATCTGGCTTCAACAACTTCAACCAAAAAAAAAAGTTACACATGGTCTTTATACATAAAACATAAACATATACATACATGCATACATATATATATATATATATATATATATAATCCAACTTGGATATTAATTAAAGTTATGAAAATGGATGAATTTTCATGGACTGGCTATCCAATGGCGATTATAATAATTGATCATTAACTAAGCCATACTTAAAACAAACTTCATGCAATATGCATATTAATTAAATAATAATATTACATGTGTTTCAAATATGTCACCTTCTTTTTCTGGTCATGAGCTGGACCGTTCCTTCCAAAGAAGCTGTTTTGACTACCGGCTCCTTCATTGAAGGGATCGTTGAACTTACCGTCGGCCGTCCGGTACGGATAATCGGAGGGATTGAACCGAATCCCGACAGGAGATTTACCCACGTTGATTAGGTTATATTCTTGGTGAAGATGTCTCCTTAGCCCTAAGTAGACCAATCCCAAGAACACCGGTAGCTTATGCCATGCCACCATCTTATCCACCGTATGCACTATCTGCATGTATATACACACGTATACATATATCAAAACAAATACACGCACGTACATAATATACTCAATATTACTATCAATCATATACATGACGGAATAGAATATAAAATTCCGAGCGTCTTGTTTTCATCTACTCTCAATCATGTATTGATCCCTGCGTGATAAAGTGGCATGTCTTGCTACCAAACTGATTTCAACATTTAAAAACTAAATAACGAAAGTCATCCACACTAAGCCGTTCTCTGCAACATAATATATAATGGATTTGAATATATATATATATATATATATACATATATCATCATCATCTTACACTCACGCATGTGTAATTCAATGTGAATATGATACTTACGAGGAACAGAAAGCGATCAATGAGGGTCATTCTAGAGAGAATTTCATGGAAATCTTTGTCGATGAATCGAAGCAGAAAATCAGAGAGGAAAGAGCTAATGGTTGTCATTTTGGAGTTTTTTTTGTTTTCAGTCTCTCTGATTATTTTCTTTGATGAGAAACAAAGCACCTTGAGTTACACGCCTATTTATAACCATTACGTAAGACGGGCGAGAAGAAAATTCAATTCACATTGGTATTAATAAGTTAAGTACGTAATATATGGTTGAATGAATTCTTAATAATATTAATATTATTTTTATTCCCACAAAAGCCACCGAGGGTATGATATTATTTCCTGCAAATGGGTTTTTTTTTTCTTTTATATTGTATAAATATTCAGGCAAATGGTTGAATGTACCCAAAAAAAAAAATACACAAACATATCCGAAATAACGTTGAAAAATGTTAATTTTAAAAAACTTAATATTTCTTATTTCATATTGGAGAAAAAAAGGATTGCCACGTCAATTTTCGTGTGAATTGTGAAAACCGGGTTTCATATAATTATCCGGACTTCAAAGAAATTCCACATCGATTAGGAAAACAAGGGCGCGAATTAGGTTAACCTATATTAGTTCCGTATATATAACGAGGGCCTAAATTTTGAGCCTGAAAAAAAAGACGTTAATCGATTATAGAGATTAGAATATTTTGTGAAGCTCATGTGTATATACACGAATACATGAGCAATTAAATATGTGGTCAAGAATATTCCGTACAATTATGATTTACGTGGAGACTATTAATTAGAACCGGTTTGCCGGATTGGTTTAGTATAACCGGATAGCAGATTGATTTGTCCGTATATGTATATGTATATACTTACGAGGAATAGAAGCCGATCAATGAGGGTCATTCTCGATACAATTTCATGGAAGTCTTTGTCGACGAACCGAAGCATAAGGGCAGAGATGAAAGAGCTAATGGCTTTCATTTTGATTTAATTGGAAAAGTTTATATGAATATATGCAATTTGATTCCACGTCTGGTATTTATAGGCAAATTAATTAATATGTGAGATATTTCATATAGAAAAGTTTTATTTTATTTTTATTACAACTATGACATATATATTTGCCATTGCCTACCACGAAGACTTTGATTACTATATGATTTGGTAAGAGCCATCGGGAATGTGTTTTATTCTTCTCTTTTGGCCACCCTATTTTACTATTCTTCTCTTCATTGGGTTTTTTTTTTGTTTGGTAAAGATTCTCTTTATTGGGTTGTTTTTTTTTCCCTTGCAAATGGGTCTTCTTTGCCCCGTCTATGTAAAACAAATGCACATGGGATAAGGGAACGGGCAAACATCATGTACGTACGTACGTACGTACGTATGTATGTATGTACGTATGTACGTACGTACGTATGTATGTATGTATGTACGTACGTATGTATGTTATCAATAGGGGATCTATATAATCTATAACCTTACAATCGAAAAACATTATATTTATATATGGTATATCATTCAGCATCGCCTTCCCATATTGGCGGCTTTCTCTGAATAAACGCATATATATATATATATATATATATATATATGTCGTGTGAAATTTCAAATACGGATACTAATAATAATAATATTGAATAAAATGGAATATATCTAGAAACTGTTTAGCTATTTTTATTTTCATTCGGAAACATCTAATCAAACTCTTGTGAATATGTTTGACTATACGAACTCTTATACAATCCGTGTGTATACATGCATCCTTACGTTATTGGTTTTCATCTATCACAATTCTACACGACTTTATATTTTCTTTTTTCCACGAGTAACTCGTTCTCGATTTCCATTATGCATTATGATATTAAATGTTTTTTTTTGGCAACCGATTATGATATTAAACGCTTGTTTTGCTCATGCATATTAAGTTCCAATTCTTCCATATCATTTTTCTTGAACTCTCGTCATACATTTTTTTCTATTTGTTTTTTTTTAACCGGATATCATGGATCGAGGTACAGACTAATTTTGAGAGCGAGAGCAAGTCATGTGATTAAAATTACATTTTTCTAACCAATTTAAGGTTCGAATTCGAGGCTGAATTTTCTATTTGAATTTATCTTCATCGAATCAGAATTTCCAGAAAAAAAATAATTGATATTTTTTTCCTATTAAAGTCGAACGTCTTTCCAAATTATTTTAAAAATATTTGGTTCTTTCTAAAATAGTTGTAATAAAATTCTACTTATTGTACGATGTTTGGCCTCACAAGTGGGGATATGTTAGAATAAAAAAGAATAAGGAAACAAATTGGAGAAGAAGACACGAAACTGAGGGAAAGACAAATCAAACATGAGAAAGAAGGGCGGCTCGTAGCAAAACCAAAAAAGATATTCTTAAATATCTAGACGTGACATTTAAATTGGAGAGAAAAAATTATTTATAGAAATATTATATTGCTAAGGAAATTCCTAAAAAAAATCATTCAATTTAGATATGACTATCAAATTCAACAAGAACTTTTAAAATATTTATATTCATATTGAATTTGATTTTTCTCTTCTAAAAAATTATTCAGAATTTGAATTTTTAACAAATCTTTATCGGAATCGAATTAATTTTGACACGTAGACAGAAAGAGAATAGAAAGAGAATATGTGGTGCTTACGTGACATGTACCTCGCCACATAGGATACACATCAGATTAATATTAAAAAATTGTAAAAAATTATAAAGAAATGTAAAAAATTGTAAAAACTATACAAAAAATTACAAAAAATGCAAAATTGTAAAAAATGTAAAGAAATTTTAAAAATTGTAAAAAACATTGCAAAAATTGTAAAAAATAAAACTTGTAAAAAATGTAATTTTGTTAAAAATTTAAATTTTGAATGATTTTTTTAAAAAAAAATTAAATTTAGTATGAATATAAATATTTTAAAAGTTCGTAATGAATTTGTTAGTTATCTCTAAATTATATGATTTTTAAAAAAAATTCCCTATTTCTAATCGGATAATGAGAATTCCTCGACATTTTTCTCTAAGTTTTATTGTAGGACTGACAATGAGGTCATACCCATAGATATATTTAAAAGCAATTAATTTAGTTATAAACTTTTATAAATTTTAATAAAAAACAAGCGTGTCCCGTCATTTAATGTGCTACCCCCTCCTATTAACTTCTTTGATTTTTTTCCGTGAGTCCCATTTTTCACTTTCTTTTTATTTATTTTTTTAGGTTACGCGTCATTTTTTTGTCTTTTTTATATCTGTTTTATATTTCATTGTCACTAGTAAAAAAAATTCCAGGGTCCGCCACTGAGTGCAGTCACAAATATTATGTAAATATCTTCTATTTTTATTTTCTTGTTGGTACCAATAAAATTACTTTAGAATCATCTATTTTCTTAGCAAGTTCCTAGTCTATTTCATTTTAGACGTTGTATAAGAGTTAAACACACAAAAATTAAAAAAATAATGATTTTTTCAAAATACCCTTATTTATTACATAGAAAATTATTATTTTTAAATATATATAATATTTAAGTATTATTAATTAGGGATAAATTTTAAAAAACATTAAAAGTTACATGAAAAATCCCAAAACGTCACTTATTTTGAAACAAAAATATTATTATAAAACGTCATCTAATATGAAACAGAGGGAGTATTTGTTAAAATGAGATCTTCTGAAAATTCATATATAATATAACCTAATAGATGAGAACCAATGGTAGTTGAAATATTTGGTAAATAAAATAAAAAATAAATATAGTTGTTTTTCTTCTACTATCACGAGATATTTTAAATATGTTTAAATATGAACCGACACTTTTAAACTTTTACGTTCATATTAATTTTTATTCGTTTTTGGGTCAATGCACTAAATGATGAAAAAACGATCCAAAGGATTGCTCCATTCCAAGACCTGACCTATGGAGATAATATAGTTGGGTTTTAAAATACAATGTTTGAATATTTTCATTAATTTCGAAAAATAACGCAAAATACTAAACCGGAATAACAAACAATTAAACCGGAAAATAACCAAAAATGACTAAACCGATCTTCATCTTCAACCTCCGTCTTCGTGTTTATACACTCAGACATGACTGAGAAATTCTTCTCCCTGATAGAAAACGCCAAATAAACGTGAAATATAAGGGAAAAAACCCATAATGCTGTCAGTGCACAGGGTATGGTTGCATCTGAATTGGGGAATCCGATGCAAAATTGAATCACTCAACGCGTTACATAACAATCCAAAATCATCTGTCTTCTCTCGTTGGGTCCACACTTGAATTGAATGGACCGTGGCAAAACGTTTTTTACGTTTCTGGATTGTTACGACGTTTTCTAGAACATTTATTCAATGGAACGCTTTAATATCTACATGTACAATTATTTTTTTGTTAAAATAAATCTCAATTGAAACTTGTATATCTTTTATTGTTTTGGTGTCGCTAACACGGGTCCAAATCTTTTTAGCTTTTTTAATCATTCTAACCATATTTTCAACTAGAAATTCAAAAAAGTGCACACAACTTGGCTATGTACTCAATTTTTTTTTGAAGACATGTAGAATAATTTTATAGATATAATCAAATTTTCATTTACAATTTTTTTTTTGAAAAAATCTAATCGTATCATATATAACCATTTTCACCTTCAACAAAATAAAAAGTTAAATATGACACTGTATATAAAAAAATTAATTATTAGAAATTTCATATATTCAAGAAATGATGGGCAGAAACGAAACATAAAACAATAAGATATTTGATAAAATTGGCATGGTTTTGAAGTGTTTCCTGTTGAATTGATGTAATTTTAATTCTGTTCCTTTTCCAAAATAACATTTTATTGGAAATAATTTCTTAAACATGGAAATTTTCCAAGTTAATCTATTTTTTAGGTGGCATAATCTTTCAGTAATATCCTATTTAGTCTTTTTTTTTTTTGTCATCACAAAGAGAATTCTTCCTATAAGTACCCTTCTTGCTTTCAGTCAACAAATTCATCTTCTAATTACGTTACCCTTTTGTTAAAGAAAGCTCATTAGGAAAAAGAAAAAAGAAAAAAAGAAGGAAAAGTTTATTTTTTACTCCGGGTAATGAAAATTTTCCAAATTTGAAAAGTCTTTCAAGTTGATATTCTCTTACGATATAAATAGTTTATAAACTTTTTTTTGAAATAAATATATATGAAAAGAAGACGAGACCTATCGAAATATATGGACAATGTTCGAAGAAATATGAAGAATATTTGACAATATTTTCGTAATATTAGATCTGATCTTATTTTTATATTTTAGTTATTTAATTGATTAATTAAAATATTTTAAGATTCGTATAATATTGTAATGCTTTATATTGAATAATGAGAAATGTAACAATTCTCTACTCGTATATCTCTTAAGAATTAAGACCACCGTTTTTTATTTCACAAATGCAGTAATTAATCCATAAAAAAACATAACTGACACCAATGCCGATAATTTGTATCTGTTGAATGTGTATGTATAAAGTATAATATATGTTGCGCAAAAAATATTATTTAATTGCTATAATTTTTTTTGAAATGATACTTTCAACACATAGCCCATTGCTTTTTCTTAAAATGTATAAATTTTGTATTTGCATAAATTATAACATAGTGAATTTTGTTGGTATAAGTAGTTCAAATTTCATTGCGTACATGGTAAATGATATAAGAAGAGGGTATGTATTGGTATACGTAGATAAGAAGTTTCAATTGCGTTACAAGTTATTGAAAAAACAAAGAAAAAACGATTTGTAGAAATACCTAATATATATAATTTACATTTTTAGAAAATTTTCTTCTCTATTAGTATTTTGGGAAATGATCTGAAATGAGAATGTGTTTGAATTGAAAAATGAAAATTATAAACTTAGCTCTAATAGATAATGACAAAAGTTTATGGGAAAAATTCAAACTACCACAATTGGACCATAGAAGAAAACAAAAAATACAGAGATATAGATCTGGGCCTAAAGGCCTTTTATCGCGTAGAAATATATTTCAAAATAAAATCATATTCTTAAATTTTGTTCCAACAATGTTAATTTATTTCTTAATTTCTAAAATTAAAAGTAGATAATAATGTGGACTTTTTGATAATTGCATCTCTTTAAGCTTATTCTCTAATATTATACTGATTGCATCTCTTAATTTCATAGAACCGATTAGAAATTGTCCGCTCTACCAAACTAAAACCAATCTGATTAGATCCTTAACCATCATAAACCGACCTGAGTTTCTCTAAGAAAAGTCTGTATCGATCCGGAACCGAGCTTGCCAACAAAAACCGATGCAAACCTGTACCGAACTATACAACATTGTGCAGGATCTAAATCGCACCAAACCGGGCTGAAACCGACTAAAACAAGTCTAAACCGAGTTGTGCTAGCCTAGCTCCTAAACCGATCTAAACTAGACCGAACTGGACTGACTTCTATCTGAACCGGATAAAACCGAAATTTTAAACGTAATTCCTTCTCTCCATCGGGCTCTCTCTCTCTCTCGGTCTGTTTTCGCTGGACAAGCCACGACAACTTCTCTCCGGCCGCTTTGGGCTTTGTCGTCGCGAGCTCTCGGACTTGGTCCAAAATTTCCTCTAACGACCGCCGCTACTCCTCGGAATTTCGATGATTTGATGGAAAGGGTGAAAACGTAGCAATAGCAACTGTAACGGGACCAGGCATAGTCTTCATCCGAACTTTGTCGGTTCATCGGGGCTCTCAGCATATTGTCAGGTAAATACTCTCTAAATAATGGTTAATGATTATGTAGAAAGGTAAACCATAGGGATGAAATTGTGGGCGGTGGTTAATGATTATGTAGGAAACACCAACTTTCTTTGCAAAATAGTTTATTGTCGAATGTGAGGAAATAGTTTATTGGGATTGAAATGGTTAACTTTTGATAAGTTCAAGATCTGCTCTGCGAGGAAACACGAGTGTGATTACATTGGTGAATCTATCTATACGTGCATTACTCTGTAAATTGGTATGAACTATGGTCCAAATCTGTCTTCTGGGACTGCAGCTGAAAAAGGAGACGACAGTTCAGGCAACAGGGGTGGCATCGAGCTTGGTGGAGGTCATACAAGGGGCAGGCTTCAAGTTACAGACGCTGAATCTGAGTTTCGAAGACGAAGATGAGGTTCTTGTCTGAATCATTGTGCAGAGTGTTTGATCTAAAGCATTTAGGCATCTTTTTCTGTTATTTGTATCCTCCAAATCGGCTTCGAAATATATTTTTAACAGGTGAGAAGAAAAAAGGGTTGAATTCCTTACCCGTTGTTATTTTTTTTTTTTGGTCAAAGTTCATGTGCCATATCTCTTATTGGGAATATGATTCCTTACTGGAGATGTGGGAAATCAAAGAAAAGTTCAACAATTCATTTATAAATAAATAAATTTTAGTATCGCGCTACTCTATTGATTTATCATAAAATAACTTCTAAATCTTATTTATATCCGTTAATTACTTTTTTTTTACCCGTTTGGATTCGTTTTCAGGTTTATATTAATTTCATATCCCAAGTAAACATATGCTTATCGTGGGTAAGGTTTACATCAACTCCATTTCCAAACAATCCTCTCGCCTAGATCCTGCTCTGTGTATAGGCGTTTTGCTCGTGCAAAACAGACGGATACTCTTCTTCCTTCGTTTCTCGCGCCTGATCCGCCGCAGCTTGATTTCTGATCGTCCACCTTCGTTTGTTCGTCTTCGTCTTGCCGCGGCAATTTTGATCACGTAGATCTGGGTCTCTCGCTCACGGTATGCGACAATCTCTTCGACTTTTATGTTAGAGGCAGGATTTTGAATCTCTTGGATTTTCCTGTGAGATCTTTTGTTGGATTTCGAACTTCGCAACATATTGAATCTGATTCATGTGCTTTGCTGTCGTCTACGAAGTCGTTGCGGTTTTGATAGGTGTGTGCCCACCGGATTTCTTGTAGATATATGTCAATTGAACATCCGAGCTCGATTTGTTTCGATGGTAGTATTGTAATCCATGTCTGCTGTGAGATATCTGTTAACGAACCATTAGAGCATGTGTTTTTGTGCTGGTGTGATCAGCTGTCAGGGTCGAATTTTAGCCATGACAGTAGAACAATTTGTAATTACTGGTCTCCGACAGAAAATTGTTGAGATCTGTGGATTTGCTTGATGAATTTTGTCGTAGAAGATTGCAAATTGCAATTTTGGCAACTTTACCCTTGATTTCTAGGGTTTTTTAAGTTCTAATATGTTTCATTCTTGTTCACTACCAGTTCTACGAGAGAAGTGGATCTTTGAGGGTCACTGGTTTGCTTCAATTTGTTTATTGTGGACATATATTTTGGTATCTTATTCCATTTCGAGTTGAATGGATTCTGAAAAGTTATATATATATATATATATGAAAAGCAGATGACACCACCATTCCACAATATTATTATTTCACAAATTTAGTAATTAATTCATAAAAAGCATTCCGATAATTTTATACATGTTGATTGTGTGTGTACATATAAAGTATATGTTGTGCAAATAATAATTTAATTGCTATAATTTTTGGAAATAATACTTTCAACATATAGCCCATTGTTTTTTTCTTAAAATATAGAAATTTTGTATTTGCATAAATTCTAACATAGTGAATTTTATTGGTATAAGTAGTTCAAATTTCATTGCGCATATGGTAAATGATATATAGGAAGATGATAGATATGTATTGGTTTACGTAGATAAGAAGCTCAGAATTCAATTGCGTCACGAGTCATTGAAAAAAAATAAAAGAAAAAACGATTTGTAGAAATACCTAATATATATAAATTTTATTTTTATAAATTTTCCTCTCTCTTAGTATTTTGGGAAATGAGAATGTGTTTGAATTGTAAAATAAAAATTGGACTTACGGCTCAAGAGGACATAGATATGGGCCTAAACCGAGCTGTACTAGCCCAAGTCCTAAACCGGTCTAAACTATACCGAATCGGACTAACTTCTATCTCAACCGGATAAACCGGAATTTTAAACCTAATTCCTTCTCTCTCGCTCTCTCTCGGTCTCTTCTCGCCGGTCAAGCCGCGACAGCTTCTCTCTGACCGCTTTGGGCTTCGTCGTCGCGACCTCTCGGAATCAGTCCGAAATTTCCTCTGACGATCGCCGCCGCTCCTCGGCGCCGAGAGGAATTTCGATGATTGGATGGAAAGGGTGAAAACGTAGCATTAGCAACTGTAACGGGACCAGGCATAGTTTTCATCCAAAGTTTGCCGGTTCATCGGCTCTCTCAGCGTATCGCCAGGTAAATACTCTCTAAATAATGGTTAATGGTTATGTGGGAAGGTAAACCATACGATAGGGGTGAAATTGTGGGCGGCGGTGGGTTTGCTTTGCGCTGGTCCCGAAACATGAGAGAAACCCTAAAGTATTGGTTCAGACTGCGATATTTGTATTCCTTGCCTATGTTGTGATTGTATCTTCTTTGATAATATGAAACTGCATCGAAACCCGTGTAATTTGTGATATGCTCAGTTCACCGCTTCCCCGCGTCACCTTCGAACTGCTCCCGTCGGCTTGGTTCAACCCTCGCGTTCCCATATTCTCGGACCGATACGTAGTCGGATAGTTCATATTTCGACAGATTTTAGATGCCCATAATATTTTTGCGGATGTGCCATGCTATATACACCTATATGCTGCGATGTGCTTTTTGGTGTGTCCTCCTCACCTGCATTTTTTTTGTAACTATTGTTTTCATTGTAAACGGCATTCATCTTTAGTGAGCTGAAAATGGCACTCTGTCAACTCCCAGCTTCGGGACACCACATTGGTCTTGCATCCATCGGAATGAGGACATTTTAGTCATTGACTCATTGCACTACTCGCACCGGCGTTTCTCAGTTTCCCTTTCTGTTTTTCCCGAACAAATTTGATGATAAAACACTGCTCATTCCCCCCTTTCGCTATCAGGACTTGGCTGAGAAGACCGATCCCTCTTGGCAGTCTCCGGGTCTAATCCTTCGTGGGGAGGTTTCTCACCGTACGAATGGATCCGCAGGCGCAGAATACTTCGTTGCAGCGGCTCCAAAATGTTGAAAAGGTTAGATTTTTTGGGAAACCCAATTTAAGGAAGATGGATTCACATGTTCATCTCTTCGTAAAATTGCGTGGAAGTTTCTGAATGTTGGAATTTTGATATGGATGTTTGTGTATACGCATATTACGCACAGAGAATTGTTAGGGTTTTGGAGCTCGCTGGAGGAGTGATGGACCAACTGGCGAACCCTGCAGAGCCTAAGAAAGAGTCTGTCAACAGTCATTGTCGCGAGTTCATGCAATTGATTAAGGTTCCTGTTCCAATCTCTCCTCTCCTCTCCTCTCCAACCTCTTTTGTCTTTCTTTTCTCCTGTTTATGGGTTTGGCGATTGATTATGGGGCTGCGACGTTTGTCCTTGGGTTGTGAACTTGTGATTGAATTTTGGCTCCATGATTATTAAAGGTTACATTTTGGGGTGGTTTCAATTCAGGGCTTGGTCTAGTCAGTCGAAAACTTTCGGATTTGAACACTGTTTTCCCCCGAGAACACTCTGTTTGTTGGTTGAACCAAGTATCTGCCTTTGATCGTGTTGTCCTTACGTGGAAAAATTGATATCATTGAGATGGATCCGTTCCTTGGATTTTTTTCCCAAATCAAATTTACAGAATTGGAGAATGTGGTGGAAATGACAGGATATCCAGGTAACATTGAGGGAGGAGATAAAGAGCGCGTGCGAGTACCGTCCCTTTGAGAAGTGCGATTACAGTGCAAGAATAGCTAACGAGATATGCTTGCAGAAGCTTTCTTATGCTCTGTCCCAGCTTGACCGTATGGACCAAACCGTGAACCAGTATACTTCCTCGTCTGTTTGACTTTTTGGGATTTCTCCTTGTTTGTCAGACTTATAAATCTTTGTTCATGGGATTTGTGCTAGGGAGTGAATCATATTCTTTTGATGTTTGTCCATGGCGAAAAAAAAAATCAGATTACAGAAAGGAACACGATTCCTTTTGTTATCAGCATGGGCACAGGTGTGCATGATTAATTTCAGGTTTCCTTGCTTATCTTCATCTCAGCTGAAGATTCTTAAGTATATGACCATTACTTACATATATATATATGTGTACAAAACACTACTTTTGAACATGAAAAAGGACAGTGGACAATGTGTGATAGAATAGAACTGAAGAACCCGCATCTTACCTCTTCCATTTGGCCGGCAGCTCTACACACACACACACACACACACACAAAAATGAAACCTCAGACACAAATAACATGCTGTTCTCTGACTTAGGATGTGGTAAAGAAAGGGAAAGAAATATAAGCAGTAGTAGGACAATATGGGTTTTATTACAGGGGAGAAGCCACACTGGTGACACGGAGAACGGCCTGTACGGTTACTAGTTAGAGGCAATAGTTTTGATTGGCAGAAGATTTCCCATTTGACTGCCACCTCCACTTCCACATTAGCCTTTTCGGACAATGGCTACTCTGTTCCAACGCCATTGGGATGGCTGGTATCTAAGGAGCTAGAGCTTTGTGATGGCCTATCTTCCGCTTTTTCATTCTCCTTTCCAACACATGGCTAGGTTAAACCCCCTTTACAGTCACTTTTCCTCTCAGAAACAAGAAGATTACTCAAATCCTTTAAAGCATCTCCGGCCATTTCCAGAGTTAGCTGCATGATAAAAAGGACGTCATGAGAAATTTCATCCTTGCACACGTATTAGCAGGTATGGCAATGGAAATTATAGTTTCCACTAGAACACTGCAAATCAATGAAAGCTCAAGTATGCATTTTGCCTAAGAGAGATGGAAACTCGGCCATGTAAAAGAAAACATAGGTACGAAAGAGGTTCAGAGAGATCATCAAAGATCAATTCCTCGAAAGATGCCAAACGTCAGGCACAGCTACTTCTCTAATGACAATCTCAATGATGGAGATGGTTCCGAAAATGAAATACTTCATTATGTCTCTGACTCATAACACAATCAATTCACTAAACACATAACTGCATCATGTTTAGATTAAACAGACCGTGCATTCAGCCTTTAATAAAGGAGAAGAGCTTTATCAATTCGTTCTGGCTCCCTCACCATCCAATAAGTGCATAAGAATAAAAGCTCCACAGACTAATAAAGTTCGGGACTTGAGAAAAGGCATACCAGACATAATCTTTTTGAAACCAATCATGGATCTCGAGACTCGACAAGCTTGACTCCCAGAGGAGATTAGATCTGTCTACTGGATCAACCAAACCAACTTGAATTAACCAACTCCAAGTCATAAAGAAAAGCAAAATCCAATAAGAGTAGATTACTACATAGAAAAGACAAGTACAAAATTTGCATCTCTGCCACTGAAACCAGGTTCCATAAACTAGCCCAGCTTAATGTTCGATCTAATGAGACAGGAGTCCCGACCTGTTCCTGTTCTCTGATACTTCTCTACTCCAGGTGAAACCATCTCACACCAATGACAACAGTACCAATCTATTCACTCACCGGCAAACGGAAAACCAACACTAATCAATGGAGCACCAATTACACTTCTCTAACGCACTTACTGTTAAAAAATGTAAAAATCGGAGCAACTCAATAGCAAAAGCAGGCAAAAGCAGACACCTAACTTGCAAACCGAATTTCAAACAATAGCAAAAACGACAAAAACATGATCACACTCAAGAACTCACGGAAACTCGAATCGAACGGCGGCGAAGCGGTGCCTCTACGCAGGAAACTCGAGAGAGAATGAAAGCCAGTAGACACTCGACGACCTCACTCGCCATCCTATTCCCTTTTTTTTTTATTTTGAAAAGCGAGAGACGAGTTTTTATCGGTGGAAGACGAAACTGATAACCGGCGATCACCGAGTCCGACATCGTTCACCCTGGATATACAAACGACGCCGTTTCGGTGCACCGGTGGGACCCACATCCACGACGGGCCTAACGGAAAATAGAAATAAAATATCTCTTAGGGTATGGGCCTGACGGGCTTGAAGCCCATAAAATGCTCGTAAACCCTTTCTGGTCAAGAAAAAAAAAAAGAGATTCGAAATGTTTTATATTGTGACGATAAAAATGGTACGGTCGGACGCTTTTGCACGCATTCGGAAGTGGCAGCTCTGAGTCTGACAATATTCTTTTGGCAAGGACAAATTACAATTAACATGAGATACTTTCCGATAATATAATCAGATAATTTCATTGTTGCTAACCGATTTATTAGGATTTCAATACGACAATTCGTATTTTGACCCATTTTATCAACAGAGCTTCACCAAACCAAACTTCAAATCTACAAATGTGTTTAGGCAACTTCTGAATAAAAAGGCAAAACAAGAAAGCTGCCAATCCCTCGTTCTCTCTCTCTCCTCCCCCCAAAACAGGCTTGTGGGAAAAAGCAGAGGAAATCTCGCAAGAAAACCTCTTCACTCTTCCTCACCATTTCGATCTTCTCCATCTTCTCCGCAAACAATGCTCGATTCCAGAAACCGACTCGGATGATGGAACTCAACGATTCCTCCTCCGACAGGCTCTCTGAACCCCGGAGCGGCGTCAAGGACGAGAATCGCTCCTTTCTCGAAATCGATCTCAACGAAATCCCCGCCGCCGCAGCCGCCGGATCTAGCACCGGTGGTCAGGATACCGACGCTGACTTTGAACCCGTCGAAGTTGTTCGCGCAATCCATGATAATCCGGACCCCGCCCCGGGCGCGCCTGCCGAGGTGCCTGGTCCGGATCAGGCCGCCACGTGCGGCGCGTGCGGGAGGCCCGAGTCGCCGGACCTCGTGGTGGTCTGCGATGGCTGTGAGCGAGGGTTTCATCTTGGGTGTGTCAACGGTGGAGTGGAGGCGGCGCCGGCCTCTGATTGGATTTGTGGCGACTGTGTTAGTAGCGGCGTGAGGAGCAAACTTTGGCCGTTGGGGTTGAAGTCTAAGCTTCTTCTGGATATCAACGCCTCCCCGCCGAGTGACGTGGAGGGAGACGGGAACGGAGATGAGGAGATACCGGACTTGAGGTACAGGGCTTTTTACCTGTTTTTATACCTTGCGTTAGGGTTTTTAAGAATGGCGTTTTTGTTAGCGTCTAAGAGCAGATTTGCAAGACGTGTACAAAGTTTGCATGCATAGGAACTAGATGGGAGCCAAGAGATCGAAAAACTAGGGAAGCATCTCTGACCTAAATTTACTAGCCTGAGATTTTTTTTTCTGGTTATTTGAAATGCAATCCCTCGGTACCGGTTGGAGATTCAGTGGAAAAACTTAGTCAACGTTTAATGATTCATCTGGGAACGGTTTTGGAGTATTAGGTTGTTTCCCAAGGCCTTGATAGTTCTGGTGCTTTTCTTTTCTGGAATATCGGTAATCTATGTATGAGGGTTTCTTTCTAGAAACTGTCTATGATCATCCACGCTACCTCTCGGAGGCACAGGATGGTTCATGCCAGGTTTCATTCTAGGCACTGTTTGTGATCATACATGCCGCGTTGCAAAGGCAGAGTCTGCTATGGTCTGCAATTTAAACTACTGTATTGTTCATGTATATCATGATTGTTCTTCTCCCTATTGGTCACAATATTATTCACCATGGGGAATGGAAGTTTGTAAATTTGTCTCGCAACATCTGGTAAAATGATCTGGCGGTAGGCTTTAGAGTTCTCAGTGCTTACCTTGTGTAACTTATCTGATCAATTTGATGCATTTTGATATTCTACCTTAGAAATTGGAGAGTTTACATTTTTCTACATGTTGCTTATGGCTTTTTTCAGTTGAGTTTTACTTTTGGTCATACGATTTTTTTTATAGTTCTGTGCAAATTTCTATAGGAAGTGATAAAATGTGCATTGATCAGTCCTACGTTTCTTTTTTTGTTCTCCAGAAAGCACATGCCAGCCAGCAGTTCTTTCCTTGGCAATGCTTTCGGAAATGCAATGACCTACTCAAGCTTTTTGAATCCTGGTAGAGGATATGACAATCATAAAGCTTCAGGGGTAACTGCTTGCAATACCAAAATAGGTTTAAAAGATTTATTGGGTTCTCATGCTCTAGAGAGTTTTCAGCAGTTAGGTTTTGGTTTTCCACTAGGAAGCCTGGTTAATAGTAGTACGCCCTTCAGAATTCCGTCATGGAATACAAGCGAGTTGCTTCTGCAGGGCCTCAGGAATTTCATCACTGAAAGGCATGGAGTATTGGAGGATGGTTGGCATGTTGAATTAAAACATTCTTTGGACAGTAATGATCTCTGTGCAGTGTACTGTGCACCAAATGGGGAAACATTTGGTTCAATGCGAGAAGTTGCTTGTTATCTGGGTTTGACAGCTAATGGTAACTACAGTGGCATGGATGCTGAAATCAGGAATCAGAGTTCTCCTCTGCAAGAAGGACAACGTTTAGCCAAGAGAAGAAAGACGTCGAGACTGTCCATCAATGGTTTTCCTGAGCAAAAGGGGAGTCCAGCAACTGCTCAATGCAGGCGCTTTCCCTTCAATGGGCAGATAATTTACAGTTCATCCCTTAAATCTGGTACTCTTTTGCAGGCTGGTGAATCTGTTTCTCCTGGAATTGGTGACTTCAAGTTTGGACGAGCTAGAGTAAGTGTATACTTCACTTGCGGCTGATGACTTGGTTCCTTCAACTTCTTCATTTTGTTCATTCCGAGTTTTAATTTTCTCTTCGTAACTGCTAGCTGATATTTTCTATGAGTTCATTTTCTGCTTGTCGTTTTCTTGCCTGATTTTTTTCATTCATTTGGTTTGCAGAATGGGTTTCCGATCCAGTTTGAAGATTTCTATGTTTTGTCTCTGGGACAAGTTGATACAAGGCAGTCTTATCACGAAGTTAATAATATCTATCCGATAGGTTATAAGTCCTGTTGGCATGACAAGATCACAGGGTCTCTTTTTACATGTGAAGTATCTGATGGTGGTGTTTCTGGCCCTGTTTTCAAGGTCAAACGGTCCTCTTGCTCTGAATTGTCTGTTCCAGTTGGATCAACTGTTCTCTCTTGTCCCAAAATCGAGCAATTTTTCTTACGGAACAATCAAGAAGGTGGTGATCTCATAGACAATAATCGGGAGCATGATGTTGAGATTCTCCTTTCAGATCCCTGTCCACCTCTTGGAGATGACATCTTGTCTTGTTTGGACAATAGTAGACATGGTAAGGCATTTGACCACTTGCATGGGGTAGTTGGTTCTGTTCGTGACATTTTCAGCAGCCCATCATCAAATAACCTGGAGCATGGGGATGAAATTGGTGAAATTATTGTGGAAGAGGATTCGTTGTCCGCTGCATGGAAAAAGGTTTCTGAGAAAGTCATTGATGCATGTTCCAAAATCTATAACCAGAATGGTACCTTGAAGTTCTTTTGCAAACATGATGAGAAAGGAACAAAGATCAACTGGGATATGATGAATGACAAAGACAATTCGTTTTTATCTTCGTTGTCAAAGTTTTGCTGCTCTTTTGCGCCTGTTGATACTACATCTGAGGATATGGATAAAATTGAGATTGCAACTTTAGCTGATACTTTATCGAGGTGGCTAGATCAGGATAGGTTTGGACTTGATGCAGAATTTGTGCTGGAAATGATCGAACATCTACCTGGTGCTGACTCTTGTTTGAAATACAGATTTCTGAAGAATAGAAATTCTGTTTCGGTTTCTGCAACTGTTGGCAATGGAGTTCTACTCGTCAATGCAAAGGGTGGAGAAGAGGCCAAGGAAGATGCATATGGTGGGTTTTCTCATAGTTGCAAGAGGCCTAGATTGAATGGTGGTTGTGGTGTGCGCAATGGACGCCCTCCCCCTGGGAGGCCATTGTGCCTGAGGCTTCCTCCTGCTCTTGTTGGTGACTTCCTTCAGGTATACTTTTTTTTTTCTGCGAGTGATAAGATAGCAACTGTATCTCTGTTTGTTGATTCCTGGGACGCTTATAATGTAGTCACTATTTTCTGCTTGCTTAATTAGGTATCTGAGGTATTTTGGCGTTTCCATGAAGTTTTGGGCTTGGAAGAGCCTTTCACGCTAGAGAAGCTTGAAGATGAGCTTATCAACCCGCAGTTTGACAGTTTAGTTCTTGATAAACATGGGAAAGAAGTTAACAGAAGTTGGATAAACTCCAGAGATTTAGATTGTACAGCTAGGAATACTCCACCTCTTTCTTCAGAAAATTCCTCTTCTTCCTTACAAATGGGTACAAAAACAAGGGAGCATTGTGAAGCTAAGCTTTCAGATTCCTCTCAGGGGCAGTGCTTAGATGCGCTTTTAACAAGGGCTCACGTTTCGCTTCTGCAAGTGCTAATATGTGAACTGCAATCCATGGTAGCTGCGTTTGTTGATCCAAACTTTGATTCCGGAGAATCAAGATCCAGAAGAGGTCGGAAAAAGGATGACACTTCTCTTTCTGCTAAAAGAAACAAGCTACATATGCTTCCTGTTAATGAGCTTACGTGGCCTGAATTAGCTCGTAGATACATTTTGTCCTTTTTATCGATGGATGGCAACCTTGAATCAGCAGAGATTGCTGCCCGTGAAAGTGGGAAAGTATTCCGTTGCTTACAAGGTGATGGTGGCTTACTTTGTGGTTCACTCACGGGAGTGGCTGGGATGGAAGCGGATGCAATGGTAAGTCTTGTTAGTTTTTTTCCTTTTTGTACGTATTTACCTTGAACCATTGAATGGTGTGATCAGTAGTGTAGTCATTAGAAATATCACCTATGCTTGTTATGTTTCTTTCTCATCTAGCAAATTTGTCATTTAACTCTGGCAAAACAGACAGGTAGTTTGCCTTAATGGAACCGTTGATGTTGTAGTAATCTATATGTGGAATAAGCTTATTTGGTGTTAATTTTAATTTATTTTCCAACAAATGATATGATTAATTGGGCGCCAAAAGCCGACTGATTTTGCACCACAAAACCTTGTGGTGAAAAATCTTGCTGTTAAATATCTTATGCACAACACTTTCATTAAAAAAAAAGAGTGACCGGTTGCAGCTTAAATGTTAATTCTTTATCTTCAGTTGCTCGCAGAGGCTACAAAGAAAGTATTTGGTTCTTTGAAAAGAGAAAATGCTGTTCTTTCTGTGGAAGAAGGTGACTCTGGTGCCCCTGAAACCAACACCTGCAATGGTGATATGCCTGAGTGGGCGCAGATATTGGAACCTGTAAAAAAGCTACCGACAAATGTTGGGACTAGAATCAGGAAATGCGTTTATGAAGCTTTGGAGAAAAATCCACCAGATTGGGCAAAGAAGATATTGGAGCATTCCATCAGCAAAGAAATCTATAAAGGAAATGCATCAGGGCCAACAAAGGTTCTGATTTCATAAACGCCCTCTCTTTTCTCCTGAAATACTTGCAATTTTGAACCGTGTATTTCGCCTTGTCAGTTTCTAGGCATTTCCTTCATCTCCTTACTCTTGTTATTATATTATTGATTTTGTTTATAAATAGAGAGTGGGCATTCTCTCTTTAATAACAGCATAATTTAGTCTTATATAATTTGTTATTACTGCTGCTGAATACAGAAAGCTGTCCTTTCGTTGCTAGCGGATGTGAGAGGAGGAGATTTAGAGCAGAAGACTGTAAAAGCAACCAAGAAAAGGAGTATTATAGATGTATCTGATGTTATTATGAAGAAATGTCGTGTTGTATTGCGAGATGTTGCTACTGCTGATGATGACAAGGTCTTTTGCACCTTGTTGGGGCGGAAGTTACTAAATTCCAGCGATAATGATGATGAAGGACTCCTGGGATCTCCTGCCATGGTATCACGTCCCCTAGACTTTAGAACTATCGATCTGAGGTTGGCTACAGGTTCATATGGTGGATCACATGAAGCTTTTCTTGAGGATGTTCGTGAGGTGGGCTTCTCTTTTAACTTCTAGTTCCTTTGTCCATTTGATGTCTGAATGCTTTTTGTATCATATAAGAAAGTTTCCTATCAGAGTTTCTAAACGTGTGGTTGTAAGTCCAACTTCCTTTTTCCCGTCTGGGCTAAATGTTGAACCTTTCCTTTTTCTTTTGCACTCTAGGTTCGATGCATAAATGTCTAGCGAATAAGGGTTTTAGGAACTATATAACTAATTGGGAAACCATTCTCTGTTTACATCGCAGCCATTTGAGATAAAAGAAAAAAAATTAATAACAAATCTTAAGTTGGTTTACTTGTTGGTAAATATTTTGAGTTACTATAACTCACAATGTACTGAATCTATCACCCTCTGCTTGCCTGATTCATTTTTCCATTACGATGATCCTATATATGTGTGTGTGTTTACTTGAGGTTTTCATTTGGATGATGTGCTAAGCTTTACTTTCTACTTGGCAGCTATGGAGTAACATACGTGCTATGTATGTTGATCAACCCGATTGTGTAGAATTGGCTGAAACATTGTCCCAAAAATTTGAGTCACTGTGTGAGGCCGAGGTTTGTCTTCTCTCTCTTCCTCTGCTATGCTTTAGATATCTTAATACAGTTATGGCATAATTGCATATTGAAAACATGTTCACTTTAGGGGATTCTCAATAATCTGTGGCACAATTTGCTCAATCTAGTTAAAATGTTTAGCAGTAAACTTTTGAACTGTGCAATGTCTTGACTATCAAAGCATCCATGGATCGTAGAGTTTCTTGAATATTCCGGCATTCAGATAAAATTTACTATGATTTACTAAAACGGTTACAAGGGTGTTCCCTTGTGGAAGGATGTTTTTTTTACTTCTTCTGCCATATCAAAAGAAAAAGAAGCTAAACAGGAAACAAGGAAAAGATAATTGGTGTTCCGTTCAGGAATTCACTTATATTTATTTAGGCATTTTAGCTGAACAAAGTCGTTAGGCTTTCTCTTTTGTGGAAGCCAAAGTGTTGTATTCGAGATCAAAGAAAAGTTTGGATAATGGTCATTAATAATGATATGCTGCTGTAGAAGGCTTTTTCTCTTTTCTTTCTGGGTTCATGCTACTGCTAGTGTCTGTGTGTAGCTTTTGTTGTCTTGGCCTCTTCTAAATTCAATATTTTAGCTCACACGACTTACGGCTTCCGTAGATACTTGTGAATTGATCTGCTAATTCATTTCTCATGTTAAGAGGCCTTTAATTGTTTGGTGCTGTAGGTTCTACCACTCGTTCAGAAACTTATGGACTACACAAAATCTGAGTGCTTAAGTGCTGAGATGAAAAAGGAAATAAAAGATTTGGTTGCTTCAACAAACAAGCTTCCCAAGGCTCCCTGGGATGAGGGGGTGTGTAAAGTATGTGGCGTTGACAAAGATGATGACAGTGTTCTCTTGTGTGATACATGTGATGCTGAGTATCACACATATTGTTTGAATCCTCCACTGATTAGGATTCCTGAAGGAAATTGGTATTGTCCATCCTGTGTCATAGCCAAACGCATGGCTGAAGATGCTCTAGAATCTTACAAACTAATCAGGCGAAGGAAAGGTAGAAAGTATCAGGGGGAAGTTACTCGGATTTATTTGGAAACAACTGGCCGTCTAGCTGCTGTGATGGAAGAAAAAGACTATTGGGAGTTCAGTGCCGAGGAGGTTAGTTTTAACCTTGTTCTCCCTTCTTGTTCCTCATTTTTTTCTCTCTTCCAAAAATTTATCTTTGCCTTCTCATCTTGGAGATGCTGAAAATAGTGACTAAATTTCATATTTCATCTTTATTCTCTTTTGCCGCTATGATTATGCTTTACGAGGTTTGTTGTATGGTAGAGTTATAATCCGTGAGATCTTAATTGATATTAAGCATGCCCATTCTCTGATTTAACTCAGGTACACTACCAAAGGTGACAAGTCTTTGGATGTGTTGTTTCAACCTGTAGAGTGTAGAGATAAAGCATAATTGAGAGAAGCGTAAAATGAGGAGAAAAAATGTGTAGTCAAGGAATAAGATTAGGAAGGTTGTGATTTTGTGGCATCATTGGACTGTCTTTAAAAGCGTTCTAAACATTTGGTGTTGTTTCCATCGGTATTCTGATTGAATTGCTGTTGTTTCAATGCAGAGAATCTTGCTGCTTAAGCTTCTGTGTGATGAGCTGCTTAGCTCAGTCCTTGTTCATCAACACCTTGAGCAGTGTGCTGAAGCTATAGTTGAATTGCAGCAGAAGTTGCGTTCTCTTTCATCAGAATGGAGAAACATGAAGTTTAGGGAAGAATTCCTGTCGGCCAAACTTGCAAAGGTCAATCCAAGTATTCTGAAGGAATTGGTAGAGCCGCAAAAATCAAGTGGTTCTGCGGATCACCTTGGAAGTGATTCACGACCGCGGGATGGTATTGGAAGCAGAGCTACGCTTGACGATTTAAGCGAGCATTCTTCTGCTACATTGTCTAACAACAATGGCGGAAAACCTGCACTTGATACCAGTACTCAACCAGAAGATGCATGTTCTATTTCTGGTGAGAGTAAGATCCTCCCTTTGAAGAAAGATACAGCCCCTAGCTCATGTGAGTTGCCTATGCCTGTGCACAAGTCAGTTGGAAAGAATCAGGAAGAACCTTCTCTACCATCGAATTCGGTGGAGTTGCATACATGTCATGATGCATCTTCTCTGGCTTCTGAGGAGGTGCAGGCTTGTCAACTTGAGTTGAATACCATCAACAATGACATTCTTCATCTACAAAAATCAATGACAAGCATAGAGTCACAGCTTTTGAAGCAATCTATACGGAGAGACTTTCTGGGTTGTGATTCTGGTGATCGTTTATACTGGCTTTCGTGCTTGCCAGATGGGCATCCTCATATATTTGTTGATGAAAGCGTCTCTGTGCAAAAATCCTTATCATTGCATAGCCATACGGATTTGATTGGTTCAAAAGCTCCATCCCCATTTCTAAGTGGAGTTGACCATGGTAGGGTAATGCGATCACCGTGGACCTATTATGAAACGGATACAGAAATTGAAGAACTGGTTCAATGGCTGAAGGATGATGACCCCAAAGAAAGAGACCTAAAAGAGGCTATTATGTGCTGGAAAAGGTTAAGATTTCAGGAGCCTCAAAATGAAAGGAGCAAACCAGAGAATTCCTTGTCTCAAGTTTCCCCTGCTCCTCTTGTGACCAAGGCTGCCATGTCACTGGTGAAGAGATATGGTCCATGTTTCAAACTGGAAAATGAAACTGTCAGAAAACGGGGGAAGAAGACAAAGTTTGCAGAGCGAGAGAAACTATATAGATGTGAATGCTTAGAGCCTGTCTTGCCGTCCATGATTCACTGCCTCATATGCCACAAAACGTTCTCAAGTGATGGTGAATTTGAGGAGCACAGTGATGGTAGGTGTATTGCAGCACCACTAGTGAATAAAGGCGAGGAAGTTCCTGATTCTTCGAAAGGGAAAGGAAATGTGAAATCTAATTGTCTTAACTCGAAATCCAGTGCTGGGAATGACCTAGTTGAAGTGCCCAATGATTCTGAGCTTGGTTCTGGGCTGATAAGATATCAAGATGAAGAATCCATCTCCCCGTACCACTTTGAAGAGATCTGTGCCAAGTTTGTGACAAAGGATTCTAACAGAGATTTGGTTAAAGAGATAGGTTTGATTGGTTCGAATGGAATTCCAAAATTGATTCCATCGTCATCTGTTTATGTTAAGGAATCTATGCTTATCTCTGTCACATCCAAGGAGCAAGATGGTGATTCAAGTGATCAGCTCGTGCCCACGGACAGAATGTCTCTCTTACATGGCAATACCAAAGCTAATGGTGAGGGTCTCTACTGTGAATCTGATGTGTCACTTGGTAGTGATTTCGGTTGTGTAGCAAAACCGAATGGACCGGTGGGGTACGGATTGTCAGAGCGAAAGAACCAGAGATCTTCAGGTAATCATTACGAACCTGATGGGGTGAAGGGGTGCTGTGTGGTTCCCCAAACTTCTCTGAGACCTGTTGGTGGGAAAGGTTCATCTATTTTCAGGTTGCTTAGAAAAAACTTGCTTGAAATGGATGCGGCACTACCTGAACACTCCTTGAGACCTTCTAAAGCGCACTTAGACCACAGATGGGCCTGGCGTGCATTTGTCAAATCTGCGAAAAGCATTTATGAGGTTAATCCAATACCATACATTCGTCCCGTCCATTTAATCACACACACACATATATATATGTACATTCAGTAGCTTTTCATAATCTTGGCTTATATTGATGTGTTTATGCTGTTAAGAAAATAAGATGAATATGCTGATGTGAGTTCCTGTTCCTGGAATTATATTTTCACTTGATACCTAAAAAAGTTTTGTTTTCCTCTCAGTTGGTTCAAGCAACAATTGTGTTGGAAGACATGATCAGGACAGAGTACTTGAGGAATGAGTGGTGGTACTGGTCATCCCTCTCAGCTGCTGCCAAAACTTCAACACTCTCAGCCCTTTCCCTCCGTATCTACGCCCTCGATGCTGCGATTTTGTATGATAAAACCACCTCTGAGTCAAATCCTAATGAAGAAACGAAGCCCACCAGCTTGACAGACCAGAAGCCACAACCTTCTTCAGAAACGCAAGAAAAGGGGAAAGGAAGCAGGAGGTCTGGTAAGAAGAGGAAAGAAGCCGAGGGATGATTGCGGGTTCCTGTCTGTATAACTGTGGAAGTATTGATGTGGATGAACTTGTACTGAAGCTTAGCAGCTCTGCCCATGTCTCCGGAGAATAAAACCAGCACTTGTCCTTGACACTGGGGGCACCTTGATTTCTGATGGAAAGTTCGAGTCTGATCACGTTGCCGGTTGGTTCTGAAGACTGGTTGCTGATTTGTGCGTGGCTGATGAGCCATGTGTATGTAGGTATAGGGAAGGTTCCTCTCAAGCTCATGGCAAAGTTTATCAAGCTGGATTTCTCTTCTTGGATTGGGCTGGATAGAGAGGAACATGGGTGCGGGCATGTAGGGCTTCTTTTTCTTTTCTTTTTTTACTTAAAAGTTAATCAGGAAGAAAAAAGAGGGAGCAGCAGCGGGGGAGGAACGGCATATTAGATGAGGGAATATGTACACATTATAGAAGATGGGGGCTAATGAGAGGAAAGATGACAGCGAATGTAGAATTAGTGTTTAAGAGCTGTAGACATATAGCTGGCTGTGGCTGGTATCAGGCAGGCAGCATAATTTTCATTCTTTGTACAATCTCTCTCTCTCTCTCTCTCGAATGTGATTTTGGGTTGGTCGTAAAAAGGTCACTCACAGCTAAAAGGTCTTCCGTAGGGTATCCTTCCCTAGAAAACACCAGGTCATATTTTCGCCCAAACGTCATTTTACATTTATAAGAATAATAATAGGCTTATTATCGTCATTATCCTTGCGGGTTTTATTAGCAGAACACTAACTAACAAAAGCTGCCAAGGGGCTTGCTTATTCCACATCTTTATGTAGCCCATGTTTCCACTCCGTACGTATGCTTTGATTCTGACCTCCTGTCTTCTTCGTTTCTCCCCGCTCTCTCTCTGGCACCCACAGCACCAAACTAAAGACGGCAATTAACCATGATGTGTGTGTGTGTGTATAGGGGAAGAGGTTGGGGGTATTAGGGCCAGGAGGACCACCAGCCCAGGGCCTGCGGTGGGGCCACAAACACGTCAGCGAAACAGCTCCGATCATCGTCACTGCCGTCGTCTTCCTCCGAGTGGATGTGTCCGATGCCTGTCTGATACTTTCCGCTGGGGAGGTAAGAATCGGAGCTGTCCAGTAGCTGAGGAGCATCCTCGTCCGCCACCGAACTAAACCGGTCCTCCAGCTTCGTGACCGGTTCTTCTAACCGGGTTGCGTTAACCGGCTCTTCTTGTTTCGGTTCACACGGTGGCGTCATTGGCTCCTTTGCCGTCTCTTCCTTTCCTTTTAGCTTCTCGGTCAAGGAAGCAACCTGATTCGCATGTTATCACAACACACAACGAGCGGTCAAAGAAGGTAGAAGTAGTAGTAAAGTTGGTGACAGTTGCTTGATTCCCCTTTCAAAAAAAGATGATGTTATACTATACATTATTTTATAATATATTCCCCGTCCATACTTGCGTCTTTTGGACGAATTTGGGAGGAGTAGATTACAGGAATGAAATAGTGAACTTTGTCAATCGAATATTTAAATCCTAATCTTCATTTCTTTCTCCTCAACATTTTATTATTCCCCAAGGTCTATTGCGTGTACAGAATGTATTACTTTGAAAAATTATCTAGCCTGTCACTGCTACCGTTTCCTCATCAGACACAACGTTTGAAATATATACATATATAAAAGGGTGAATTGTTAGTGTTACATTCTTAAAGCAATTATTTCTATTTATAATATTATATATATATATATATATATATATATATATATATAT